CCATTCAATAACTATTATCAAACTCATCAATTGTCTCACATTCTTCAATCTTGTGTGTGTACGTGTGTGTGTGCAATCGATCGATTTTATTTCAAACTAGCGCGATAAGTATATACTTACTATGTTGGTAAATTATAATTCATAATAAATAAAGAATATTATGAGCGTTGTATGTAAATAATTACTTTTTATGCTTCATTTTAATTGTAATACTTGAAATCAATCATCACTTTAATTTATTAATGGTTGAATAGAAAAAAAAACCCGAGGAAGTACGTATAATCAATCTGTTAATGAAATTGTTCACTTGAATATGTTTACAGCTCATGAATGGAATTCTCTCATCACATAAGTATGTTGAATCAGAGTAGATGTAGGTAGAATTATTCGATGGCATTCAATCAATAATTAATCAACATTGTTTACAAATACACGGAAACACATTAATTAGTGTGTTGCTGCTTAATTAGTTGAATCGATCGATAGGGTTGTTTTGAGGCGGTTAATTTATTTCCTTCTTTTTTTTCTGTGATATGCTTTGTCTTATAAATTTGATTCCATTATAAAGTTTTCATTGTTCTTCTAAATACTATAATATTACACTTTTTAAATAAATGTCCTGGTGACGTTGTCGAAACAAGACAATGAATGCTTCGTGATTGATTAGTTGTGTTCATATTTGATTTGGTTTTTCATATTTACATCAATTCGAATGGTTTCGCTAAGCCTACTAATACTTTGATACCTGTTGAACGAGTTAGTGGCTTCACAGAGTGAGTAGTTCAGTACATAACGTGCGTGCTAAGCGTTTAGATAAAAATGTACAATATTTGATTGTTAGTATAAATCTGAAAACTAAGATGCAGGGTTCATTCAACCGACGTGTATTTTTTTATTCCACTTTTGGCCAAATAAATACTGACATTTGAAATCATCAATCAATCAATCATTGTTAGATCACCATTAGAAACCTGGAAGCACTGGACGGCCGTTTCGTCCTGGTATGGAACTCATCAGCAGTGCGCATCCACAACTCATGCACCTCGCAAGATTCGAACCCGGGGCCTTCGGTTTTGTGCGCGAACGCCTAACCAATGATTGATGATTTCAAATGTGTAAAAACACTAATCTCCATAACTCTATTCGAAAAAAAATACTGATATGTAAATAGTAACTTTATTGTATTTATTTATGACAGAGAAACAAGAAAAATATTTTAAATTGAACAATGAACATAAAATATTCAAAAAGATCTAACTTCAGAATAATAAAAACTGTATATTGACACGCTGACAGAAAAATATAATTTAATAATGGCTGATAAGCTGTGAACATTGAAGTCAGTGTGATTATTCCCATCATTATTAGTATTATGAATTCAGAATATAAAATTCAAATATTTACTTTCAGTCAGTTAGTACATATATTGATTTTATTTGAATAGTATTAAAAATTATCAAATATTAATTAAGTGTAATGTTATGTCATTTTGTCGATCATTGATTTTTGTTCAATTCACTAATGGTACACACTGCTATTGTACAAAATGTTAGTTTACAAATGAAACAAATCAATGCATCATAGAGATCTCAACTTCAGAAATTCCAATATATTTGAAAAGATAACAGTATAAAAAAACTATACTGACTGACCTATAGTGTTTGATTATTGAAATAGTTTAAATCAATCCAAATAAGATTTAAAATTATTTTTTTTTTAAGTCAATAAATGATACAGCATACAACTGATTTTTACATTATTTTAAAAAAGGAACTATTAAATAGTTGTTAGTGTAGCATAGATTGAATGTCTAATGAAAATACTTAAAATTAAATTTCAATGTTCCGGAGGTTTTTTTTTTTTACAAGAAAATCAATCACAAATCAGTCGTTATTAATTTATTCACACGACTAAACTCCTAAGAGAAGTATGTAACTACTTTTTTTTTCTTCTATGTACAATGTTAAAAAAAAACAGCATGAAATCTGAGAATTTCTCAATTGTCTTAATTAAAAAGAGCTTTCGTGCATTCAGTTGATACAGTCATTGTTAAACCACAAATATTACATGGTTAATAATTCTAATGATGGTTTGTTTGTTAGATGTATAGATGAATATCAGTCGAGAAAATACTATAACGGTTATAGTGTATGATGTGATATCGGTAAAAGTTTACTATGACCATTCACTGTTAAGTCTGTTAGTGAACTGTTGATAAAGTGAGTTTGAAACAATGTTTAAATGTTAACATATATATGACAGCATAATTCTGAACGGATGTTTCGTCCTACTGAAAACTCATCAGTTGAATATACTTGCATCTTAGTGTTGATGTGCACATTGAGAATCGAGTTTATTATTTCCTACGGCTTTAAACAACTAATAGATTTTAGACACTCTCGTTACTTGTATGATATTTTTACATCGTGCAATAATCATTATAGCGCTTTGAGTAAAGGAAGTGTATTCTTATGGAAGTATATTTTTCTAATGTGGTTTAATCAATTTAATTGACTTTAGTGAATGTCATTCCCGTAGATAAACCACACGACGTTTGGAAGTACTAGTAAACTTATTCATGTCATTTGGAATTACACCATCATCGAAATCGTATGCACTAACGATTTGAAAATGATCACTGGTTTCAGTAGTGAAAATGTAGCTGACTAACTTTAGTTTTTTTTTGATTACGTACATTTTCTGCATTTATTTTATTTTATCATGCTACTTGGCGTACAGCAAGTAGTAGTCTCGAGCATGAAAACATCTTGTGCTAAGATTATTACTTTCTAATACATAATTGATAAGTTTACCTGAAAGTTTAGCTTTGATATGCCAAAGAAATGATCAGTCAATAAACACACCATGAATTGTGACACTCGATTTGATTCTCATTTCATAGGAATCAATTAACTCATGTATTACTGACGAAGTGTTAAGTAGTACGAAAGCAATCTCAACCAATTCCTGTTGTTTACTTTCAACCACGTAACAACAACAATTCATTGATTGTTCAATATGTTATACCAGTTTATAAAACATTGGTGAGTATATAGCTGTATCAATGAAACTCACAAGCTATGACTAGCCTAAATTAACACAGGAATAACTAACAATATTCATAATTATTGACAAACCACATTGCTTCAATATTAGGTTGAATAAAATAACTTTCGTACAGTTACATAACACATCATTCTACATGGATCGATTTCACCAGTTACAGCATTCACACTTTTTTTTCAAATTCATAGAATTAAACAATTTCTAACTGACCACTTCATATATCCTTTCTATGGAGCTGTCTCACACACAGTGTGACTCATTCATATCCAACTAGCGTAACTAGTGATGAATAAGTTAACTTATGATATTTTAAAATTTGTTTTCAACGACAACAATTCATTAAAACATTCAATTTATTTCATGTTTCTTAACTAATGATTATTCACTGCAGTTGAAGTTAGATGTTTTTCGTGGTTTATCATTTCTCACCTAATATTACCACTACTACTACTACTACTAACTACTAGCGTTATTTTAAACTGTAAACATTGATACTAAGAGATGCAATAAATTGACACATCTTTTTTTCATTGGATAAGTTGAACAATCTCAATAAATAAAGTTCATTGTAAGCAGTAGATATTTGCAGCTTTTATTGATCTAATGATGACAAATCATGTCTGAAAATGAATTTGATTAATTGATTAGGATTATTAGAGAATTAATTACCTATTGGCGTGTCTTCGATTTCTCTCTCTCTATATATATATACATATATGAGAAGTAGCTATGATTTACTTGTAATAGGTGTTACTTTTGAGAAACTCCCTAACTTTTAATTAGCTACCATGATAGATTGAGTTAGAATGCTGTTACAAGTGGCATTGTTATATACATCAGATGTTACAGTACTGAACAGGTTAAATGTACTCAACAAAATCAATGTTCTGTTAGTTACTGCCTACACCCGACAGGGTAGGGGCAGGGGTCGTGGATGCGCACTGCTGATGAGTCCCAAACCAGGACGAAACGGCTGTCTAGTGCTTCCAGGTTCCTAATGGTGGTCTATTAATGAGTGACTGATGAGCTTAAATATGCTCAACAAAATCAATGTTCTGTTTATTCGTAAGAATATACATTTATTCAAAAAGGAATGATAAATATTTATTTCTACATGAACAGACATTTGTATCAATTAACCTATTAACAATAATCAAATATAACAACAACGCATAGTCTCATCTCATCACTTTTCATCATTGGTTATCGAATGCAACTTGAAACAGCATGTGAAATGACAAAACAAAACCATCAACAATTTTTTTTTCATATTCTATTTTAATGTTAAAATACATACACATTCATATAAGCATTCAAACAACACTTCATTCATTGTGTATGAAATAAACTTAAAGATAAGTAAACAGAAAGAGGGGTTATAGTAAAATGGAAGAATTTGAAATGAAAATAAAATAATTATTGTTCACTTGCATTGTAATAATTCCATGTGCAGCGATAGAAAGTAACATAACAGAAAACAAAACAAAAAGCCTCACGACTAAAATGTTTTTGCTGTTTCCAACTCTTAACCATTTCTCATGTCAAACGATTGGATTTTTTTATTCAATAATTTGTAGTTTGGATTTTGTAATTCAATGAACTTGAATAAACAAATATTGAAGTTTTTTTTTCTTTCAAACAAATCAAATAATTAGCGTAGATGCTTCAACTTCATGTTGTGTCAAGAATTAAAAGAAGTCTGTATGAAACAAACACCATTGTTCATTTGAATAGGGCAAAATACAGAATGGAGTGGAGTACAACACAGTAATGCATAATCCATGAAATTATTTGTGTATATGTGTGTGTATGTATGCTGATTTAAACAAAATATCTGAAAAATAATATCAATTGCTCAACAGGACCAATCACTGTCGACGAGTTCTGTTAAGCAACAATATTTCACTGATTATATATATATATATATATATATATATATATATATATATATATATATAGTGGTGATGACGATAGAGTTATATCACACAATTTGATAAGTAGAGTGTAGTCAACGAGAGCTAACTAAAAATGACCAGTAATAACTACTTATTATTATTGTTAGTAGTAGTAGTAGTAGTATTTAAGACTGATGATTACTTCTATACATGACGAGAGTACTAGTGGAGAGAAGCAGGACAAGAAACCCGCAATATATATATAATCACGCATATTCAAAAATGATGACCAATACAATTGTGTTATTTGTGTGAAAAAAGAAAGCGATGTATTTAGTAAAACACAAAACAAATGAAATGAAAATACTAGTTGGAAACAAATTAATCACGAATAGGAAGGACGTCAATATCACTCATTGAAAATAATAATAATAGTAACAACAACAAGAATAATAAATGAATATATAAAAACCCAATTCCATGTTAGCTCTGTCTAACTGAATAAAGATTTTTCTTTCAGCAATTTTAATGAAAAAGAAAATATTGTGTTACTACTACAAATGAACGCAAAGAATAATTTGTTAAAGTTAATTAAACAGAATTAAAACAAAAACTTAACACATAGTTGAAGTGATTAGTTGACTGTTTTATATGATGATTGAATATTCTTGATATCACAAAAATAAAACGCACACATGCTTTGCTTTAATGTTAGACAACAGTGAGCATTGAAGAAAATGATGATAATTGGACACCAGTATATATATATATATATATATATATATCATTTTCCATACACATTATACACATGAGTAAAATGAGTAAGATAGTTCTTCCCTATCGTTTATTATCAACAAATCGTTGAAGAAACGAGAAGATAGGGACTGTGTGGCTCAGTTTATTTTTTGTTTTCATAGTTTTTTTATTTATTTGTTGTCACATGGTGTTTTAATTTATTTTTTTTTTAAGAAAAAAAAGACAACTTCCGTGAGAATTAGTAAAAAATAAATTTAAATATTTACTGCAGTGCATATATATATATATCTATTGGACAGCTGTTCTAAGTGGACATGTCCTGACAATGTACTCTATGGAGATGATAGTGGCGGTATTGTAACACTGAGTTTATCACACATGACATATATTTTTTTTAAATATAAATGTATCTAAGTATGGTTGTGTGTGTGTGTGTTTGTTCCGTTTGATTGCTTTAAACAGATCGCCAATTTTTTAATACATGACGAAATGAATGTGTGATCCATTGATTTTCTAAGAGAGCAAATCGTTCAGCATTTAAGAATAATGGTTTTCCACGTCTATAAAATAAAATAAAATAAAATAATACATAAAAACACATTTATTTATGTAACATATTTATATACAACGAGTTGAATAAAGTCTAAAGTAGGTCATATTATCTCACGGGAAAGTTAGATCGAACTGTAGTTTAAAATTGAGAGAAATTTACTGAGTTCTCAATTTCAGTACAAATATATATTTATACATATATATCTGCTAAGCAATTTAATACAAATGAATTTTTATCATTTTTGTCTTAATACATTGTTTTTAAAGTCAATAATTTGATGAGAACACAATGAAGCGCAACAGGTGATTAAAGTTGTTATTGTTGTTGTTTTATTATGTTATTGAAAAACTTGATAAATGAACAATCGTAGTGATATACATGAATTTTCACATCACTAATTGAAATGACCATTGAAAATTAGGCAGTTATAGGATATTGTTTAAAGATTTTATTATAGAAGGTTTCTACATCTCTAATACTCTATGACGACTAAACGAAGGACCTGCAGATCTTACGACCTACCTGCGTGTTATTTATCAGACAACTTTGAGTTAGTTAGTTTGGATTTATAACTTGAATAAGTTCATTTTCACTTGATTACTCTCTATGTTGCTGTTAGTGAAGTGAAAATTTTTAGACTTTAGAAACTGAATGTTTCTTCACTTTTTGATAATGTTACATTATAAAACTTCTGTATATCTATCTGTGACTCGAGGTCGATTACAGTTTTCCCGTGTTGTTAACACTTTTGTTCAAAAATAAAATAAATCAATTGATTTAATAAATAAGATATGTAGCTTGTTTTTTCTTTTTCCCTTCACAACAACTTCACACGCACAAATATTCGCATTTAATCACGACGACTTAAAGCAGATTAAAGAATATGACGAAAGTTTGATTAACTGCGGAGGAAGGGGGCGACACAGCACATTATTTCAATAATAAATCATCCTGCTCTAATATACATGAAACATAATAGGTCAAAAGGTTTTATGTAGATTATCTCCTTCTACTCCTTCCCCTAAAATTTCCGATTACTGCTAATACTTGCACTACCTCTACTACTATGGGATTTGAAGTGACAATTGCATCTCTGTGCTAATGGAGTATGGCAACTTGAATTGATGTACGTACGTAAGAAGTTCTATGTTGTTGTTGACTCACTGACTGACTGAGAGAACATAATCTGATGTCTATATTACTATCATGAATAAATATAAAAACTTATATATATATATTTTCCTATTAAAAACACCATACGAATTAAGATAAACTATTTTATGCGAGACTTATCAATAGTAACAATAAAAAAGTCAAAGAATTAATATTTCAAAGTTTCTCATCAGCAAAATGTTTAGTACACCAAGCTTCAGATGAATTCATGACACTGAAAAAAATAGATATTATCTGTTTACATGAATAACTTCTGATAATAGTGTGTTAGTTAACTTTGTTTCTTGTTGTTGTTATACAACTTTAACTATATCAATTTTAAAAAAAGATTACACTAACGATAATATTAGTAAGGCATGCATTACTTGATTACTTCTTAAGGTAATGAATCAGCTTTTAACTAAGATATCACAGGTCTATCACGTTGCTCAACCTATTTTGCACCCGGAGTGTATATCGTTCGTTACATGTCCAATAAATAATATGGTTCAATATCGATTGGATGAATCATTACACTTGAGAAAATGTGTCATCTTGATTTTCATATACTCTCTTCTTTAAACAAAATGTCAACATTTAGAAAGAATCACATTGTTCTACAAAAATAATATCACTTATTGAATTGAAATAAACTTTTAAAAAAGAAATTTACTTTAATTCTAAATCTTCTTCTCCATATTCATCTAAATAAACTGAACCCCAATCACTAACATATGTTCCAAGTGATACGTAAACAATGGAAGTGTTAACTTCAAGGACTACACCAGAGAAACCACCACACACAAGGCTATGCTTTAAGATAAGAAAAAAAAAGTGAATGAAAATGGCAATTATTATGTAGTTAATCGGTAAATATTTCATTGACAAACTATATCAATATTATGAAAGTAGCAAACATTTTAAAATGTCACATACAGTAATAGTCAGTTAATTTAAATACAGCGTAAATACTATCAATCAGTATTTAAAAAACAACGCCAAAAAAAAACACTTATGGTATTATTCACTAATATTGAGACGGGTTTTTATCATCATTGTTATCATTCGAATTGAGTCGATAAATAGTGGTTAAGGCAGCGAAATAACTGAGTTCACCGAATCGATAATCTTCTGAAAAGGGAATGTTGATATGTACCAATGCTACTGATAAAGTGTATTTTGAAAGATAAAATTATTTTGTAAAACACGTTCCTGAGACAATTATGTTTACTGATAAGTACGTTAAATGAGTACGTGTTTGTAATTTTCAGAGCGTCAAGCCTACGAGTGTCAAATTGAGCAAAACTGCTATACTACACAGCATTGCTAAAAATTTTCATAGATAATATTTTCCAATATATCCATGCAACAGAGTATATTTTACAAAGTAGTAATTTTTAATGACCATTATGACATAATTATTCATAACACATATTAAGTAGTATATCAGTAGTAAATTGATTTTCACTTATTTTTTTTCAATAGCCTCGAACAAGAGCAAATTTACAATACACAATGAATTTATCAGACCGCAACAATATGGCTACATGTAAGTTGGGATTAAACGAACAAGCGCCCTTCATACGCACACTCACTCACTGCTTTTACAAGAAAATATTTTTGTAGCTATTTTAATGACAACAACGAAAGATTGATAATTATGATTATGTACATTGAAAAGATTGTTCTCTTCGTTTTTATATTTGTTTTTTTTTTAATACAATTTAACCTTTGACTAAGTTGATGTAAATTAATTAATAATTGTAAATTTATTACTTTGAAAATAGAATACATATTTTCATTTTGATGTACTCATTTTATAAGATATAAAATTAATTGTTATTCAATGCAAAAAATAATTCTTTATTATATTGTATTCAATCATGATACTTTCAAGTGTTTACGTTACGATAAATCGCCATTCTTTACTTTTGCAGTTAAGATTAGTAACAATTCTATTCTTGAAGTAGTATATCTGTGAACAGATTGTTTGAAATGTATAAAGTAAATACATCATATTTTCGCAGATCAACTACGTCTTCCAATTGTTCCATCGAAATGGATCAGCAAAGCAACTAATTGTCTTAAACGATTCTATCGTTGTTTAGAGTTGGCAAGGCGAACTATTCTTTATAATTTTTCCTGAAATTATGAACCAGTCTAAGTTAGACATTCATTAACAACATACGAGCAATAGACAGTTGTTTTGTTTAAGTGTTGGACTGCCAAAAAGTTCGCATTTACACCTTCACTACAGAGAAGGGAATGTATCACGTTTGGATCAAAGACCCGGAATCTGTTGATGTACAGGTTTAACTCCAATAAAAATAGCAAACATTTGTTAAATTTGCATAACGTATTTTGTGCTTGATTAAATAAAAGAGATTCCAAAACAAAAGTAGGGAATATTTTAATTCCCGTGAATCGTCTCTCAAATTTTTTGTCTTAAAAATGTATATTCACCAGAACCTAAACGAAAGAGACAATAATTGCTTGCCTCTACACTATTTTACTAAGAACAAAAGACAATGAAGACGTAGTAAATACCAGCACGAAGTAATCTGACATAAGAAAATAGTGAATAACAATATTTAGCCCAGTTTGATAATTTCCTAATATTATGCATCAATAATATCAAAGCCACACACTTTACAATTAAATCTTAGAGCTAATAGAGTATCGGTGTTACAATAATACAGATCATTTAGCTTTTTTAATGTTAGCTAATTTCGATACTACAGTACAACTAAAAAAACCTTACGTTTTTTGATTGAAGCTAAAGGGCTTGAATGCAGATATGATTGACTCGTCAGTAAGTTAAAACGTAGAACTTCGTATATAAGTATATCAGTTCAGGTTGTCATACCACATTAGCACACAGACGCAATCATCACTTCGAAACCCATATTGGTAGAGATAGTAGAAATATTAGCGGTTATGGAGAAGATTAGGGAGCGAAGATATTATTCAAAAAGTATAATTCAGTGAAATAAATTTAAGAGGAGAAAGATAGAGATGATAAGGAATTTAGAAGACTAGAATTTGAGAGAACACAACGAATAGATGCACCTGCGCCATTGCAAACGATTCTGAGCCATGTCGTTTAAGGTCTCTAACCATTGGTGACTTTCATCTCGCGGACCCCAACCAGGCAGCCTAGATTTACCAACACAGCTCAGTCCGCTTGTCAGTGACTCCATGGATTTCTGCCATGTTTTGGTCTGGCCGCCTCTAGCTTTCTTCCAACCTTGAGTAACTGCTTTTAGTCTCATCGATCTCCAATCGACCTGCCTAGCATGGTAGAACCTACAGAAACACATATTCCAGTCAATTTAGCTCTGTTAGGTCATCACGATAGGCAAACCCGATCACCACATCAAGGTAGTAACTACGGTTGGGACATGATTGACTCATCTATTATTGATGACAGACTCTTACAAAGAAATTCATTAATTGATCCTTACTTAGACTAATTGTAATTAAAATAAAATATAAGATTTATATGCATGATATTTCAGTCGACTACTTAATTACGTCATTTTGATTATTTAAGATAAGATTTAAAAAAAAGACAGACAACAACAACAAACAATCTACTATGTGTGATATACCACTTACATCAACAATTGTTCTAGTTAGATTACTACATAAAGTGCATGATAAAGTTCCACAAATAAGACATAAAATATTCTCTTGAAATCGATGTTGATTTGATGAACAATTCACCAAATGTAATGCATTGAATAATACATCAAATGATGATGGTGTACGTATTAGACGTGGTGAATACAATTGACGACCAATTTCTACTAATGACTAATAAAAAGAAATAAATTTCAAAGAAAAAAAAAATTGTTGTTGAACAAGGAAATATAATGAATAAATAAATTTATCAATAAGAAAACAGAGATTTAAGTTTTCTGTTTATTACTTTCTACAAGCACTTATTATCATCTCAGCGTACTCATCAGGTAATTTAAAAAATAACTAATTTTTATACAATATTGATTTGATTGTCTCAAAAATACAATTTATCAATTGAAAGTTGAATTACTTACTATAGATGATGGATAGTGGAATGAAATAATTATATCATGAAATGCAAGTTTTTCATAGTAATAATAACAATTTAGCTTGTCGTCTCTAAACTTTGAATATAAGGAAAGAATTTCTTATTAAGCTTTGAAACATTTACTAACTAAATAGACATTACTGAGATTCTCATCCAAATCAACAAAGAGAAAAACACTTTTTATTTTAATCGAGCATTTCAACTATAAAACCATTTTTTACACAGATATGCTGTGTGGATATAGTCTATGGGTTTTGACATGATCACTTTTCTTGAGTAGGTATTTTTTTTGTTCAATAAATAAATATACTGATCACACTTACATACAGACAAATAACACATAAGTGAGGCGGAAAAGTAATTATCAAATTAGTATAAAATCATTAACGTCCAAAAATTCAAATCATAATTTCCAAACCCTTGTTTCCATTTACATCCATTTAGATGAGTATTATGTAGTGATTACTATTGTAATTTAAATAACAATCCAACAATACACAAGTATATTATATGTAGACTGTTAAATAATGATATATATTCATATAAAAATCTTTATACAAGTGCATCAACTATCATCAATTAATAACATTCAAATAAATACATACTCGTAGATAATCTGCTACATGTTGAATACAATTCGATGTTTCCAGATTAAGTGATGGATAATTTCCATCATGAGTTGTTAATCTATATCGATTATTAATATTTGACAATTGATTGATATGATTAGTTCGTCTAATTTGTGAAGGCATATTATTAAGCATACAAGATGATGATGACGATGATGATGATGATGATGATATTGTTGTTGTTGATGATTGTGTAATTAATGGTGTTGATGAATTAGTTGAATGACTAATAGATGATGCTTTTTTAATTTGACCAATCCAACGATTAATAAGACATTCTATAGCATTATTATTATTATTATTATTAGTTGATGGACATATTCCACATAAACGACTAGCTAATTCACCAACTTGGCTTACATTAATCATTGTACTCTCTCCACAATCCAATGAAAGTATACGACAAAGATCACTAAATTCAATTAATTGTTGCTATTGTGTAAAAAAAAATAAGAAGAAGAAATAAATAGACCGTTATAAATGTGAATAGGATTTTATGTAGATATTTGTGTTTCATGTAGTAGGCAATCGACATCACAAACAAGACATAACTGAAAGATCTTGTGACTAACAAATGCTACGATATAAGGAAAGTTCTAAGCTTAAGTAAAAAAAATTTGTGACTTATAGGTCAAAATCAAGTAGAGAATGAGCACAGTTTCACTATCATGATGTAATGCGAATGAACGGAAATTACGAATAAGAACTGCTGAATACTGAAGCAACGACTCAATGTGAAATAATAAATTTTGCCATATCTGGACATTTTAAGTTGAGTTCTGTTTGAGGGGATAATTCTAAACTGCAAAGAATCTTCAGACCCAGGTTTCATTTAATTTGGTACACTTCACTAGGACGTAGTAGGAATCTTGGAGAAAGTAATGCTTCAAAGTGAGTTCCAGTACGCGACAAACAGTTTTATAGACTAAAACATTTTTAAAGAGCTATCACAGCCACGACAGATGCCTTGTAAGTTTCAGACATCTAAATCAATCGATCACTGAGTACTAGTGAGTATGCACGAGAAAAATGAGAAGAAACAATGTCCAGTATTCTTTAGATTTATAATCGTCTTCCGACTACTGCTACAAATTCGTGAAGATCATCACATTCAAAAAAAAAAAACAAATGTAAGAATAAATGAAACTGAAGAAAGGATGATAGTGTTAATAAACCTAATTTTAGTATTCTTTTATTCCGAGTTTATTTAAGTTCTTGTTCATACCTATACAATGAGAATGTAAGTGACCGCTGAATATAAATGTAAAAAGGTCAACAATTTTATGATTTATATCATATCTCGCCTACGCTATAAGTGACGCAAGTTGGCGAAAGCCAACTTCAGGATTGATTTACAATCCGATATTAAGTTTCATAGAGTTTATTTAATGTTTATTGTTATGCAGATGTAAAAATAAAATTCATTAAAAACATCTATCATTCATTTTTGTATGACAAGTTTCTACATGGTAGATAAAAAAAGTACTAAACGGTGACTAATCATATATTTGTCTGATTCTTTGTGTTGACTGAATTCTGTCGATCAAGTTGAGATCCGGTCAGCTAACATCTCGAGAAAGTCAGCACATAAAGAATCAGACAAATATGTGATTGGCCACAGCTCAATACTATCCGACTGTTGAGACAAAGTGTATAAGGACACTTAGCAATAACGAAATATAATGCAATATTTTCGGTCGCTGAAATTAATGTCTATAAAAATAATGAACTATTCAAAAGTATATACAATAAACTTGGAAGGTACGTAATGTATCACAGATTTTATTAGCAATACAATATGAAACCAGCAAGTGTAGTGTAGTTTGTAGCAGTATTAAAAATAGTGGAAAAAATCAGGAATCGAGAATCGTAATCTAGTGAAATAAATTCAAAAAGAGAATTTGAGAGAAGACAAAGAATGGATGAACCTGCGTCTTCGCAGACGATTTTGAACCATGATATTCTAAGTCTCTAACCGTGAGTTGCTATCATCTCGCGGACCCCAACCTGGTAGTCTACATCTATCAACATGGCTCGGTCCAGTTGTCACTGTGGATTTGTGCCATGTTTTGGTTGAACCGCCTCTCACTTTCTTCCAGCCTACCACTCCTAAATCAGACCGACGCTCGTCGAGTAAGACGATGGTTAGGTATACGTAACGCAAGTCACAATCATCCCAACTGATGAACATTCATTATTTTATCTAATGATCTGCTAACCTTATCTAGTAACCTTTTCCTAACGTCAGAATCGCTTGCTCGATTGTCCCAGTATATACGAGCAATGCTTCGACGACGCCGGTGATCGAATACTAGTAGACTAGGAACATGCTCTACTCTTACTGCCCATGTTTCACATCCGCAAAGTAGGACGGAGAAAACTGGTACACAGTAAACGGATAAATTGCCCATCCCATAAGGTTAATGTATTTCTTTGATAATCCTTCAGTGACAGACAATGCCAAAGAACCTCACGATCCACAAGGTCAAGGAATACAACTATTGTCGAAGGACGAATATGTGTCTGTGTTCTAGGACCTGTCAAAGTGTGAATATCTGGTCTATACACCCAAACCTAGGTCGAAAACCAGCTTAGTTTTCTCGAGCCTGTTCTTCATGAGTTCTAGTTAGGCGTCTAAGTATTATTTTAGACACTACATTAGTTAGAATTATTCCTCTGTGATTGTCACAAGAAAACTTTCGTCCATTCTTATAGAACGAGACATTCAGTGATTGAGGTAAGCCGGATGGGATTGCGTCCAGTTCCTAGAATCTACCTAATATTTCAGTCAATCTCACATCTAAAACTAGACCAACATACTTAAAAATCTCAGGATTTAACTTATCAGGGTTTGCTGCTCTCTCTTTCACTTGCTTTCACTGCGTTAAGTCGATTTTGTGGGTTGCCATGTGGTAAGATGTTCTTATTTTTGTTAAAAGTTGGAATTTGTCAGAAATTAGCGGTTATCTGAGCATAGCTGCAACAGAACAGACAGTCACCATTATCTGTCCTTTGAGCCGTGACACCATACGATCCTGCCAGACATAATCAGTTTCACTTAATCTATCTACCTGAGCATTAAAATCACCAGCCACTATTACTACATCAGAAATATTAGCTTTTTTGAAGAGGTTGTAGCAGTGGATCGTTCAGATAAACAATGGTTCTATATTTTGACTAAATGAGGTCAGCTTACAACCCAAACATAACAGTTAAAATCGGTGTACATACTTGATATCATATACCATAACTTTAAATTTTAAAATTTCTCATTAGTGAAAGTTAATGTAAAGGACAATAAAGATGCATAAACTATGAAAGATATTCATATGCTAAATAAGGTGAATATATATATAAATACATAAATATTCTAAAATAAAAGCTAGAACACAGAATCATTTAGAAATAGAATATTAACACCTTACTAATGCAAACCTTAAAATAAAAATTGGTCAACTAAGTATAAATCAGATCAAAAAAAAAGAGTATTCATAATCAATATCAAGCGAAGAATTCAATAATACATTTATGTATGAATTTATTACAGCAAAGCAAGATTGATAATTGAATCTTTTTATTAAATGTAATATATTGGCGTTTACTTACCTCCGGTGTTACAGACACAAATTCTTTTGCTGACAATTGATAATCATGATCAATACTTTTCTGAATTGATTTTGTTAATAATCCAACAAATGGTAAACCTAACGGTTTCACAGTACCAATATTATCTGGATGCCAACGTGCCCAACATAAACTAGCAATACGTAGAAATGGTAGTACACGAAGAATAATATGTAATTCAATTTGATGTTGATCATATTCTATTGGAAGAGAAGGCAGTGCAGTGGTTGGTGGTGTTGTTGAAGATGATGATGATGAGCAGGAGGAGGACTGATTAAATAAATTCTCATCTGGTAATTTTGATGCTAGATAGAGCATTTTTAGTGTACATTCTAATTCTGTCGATGATTGATAAGTATTTTCTACGGATTCAGATGAATGACACTGTTGATCTTGTTGCGTAACATGAAGATGGTTAGTATAATGATGATGATGAGAAGTCGAAAGAATAGATGACATGTATAATTCACTTAAATATTTAAGTAAAATATCTAAATGGTTTGCTAAAACACCAGAAATCTAAATTTTGAAGAAAAAAAATGTTAAAAAAAAACGATATGATTAAAAACTAGCTACAAAGATCAATAAGTGAATAATTCAACTGGTCCACTCAAACACTTCTGATTTACATAAACTTGACTGTATAATAAGAAACTTTTTTGAAACAAAAAAAGAGAACCATTAGCCAGATTATATCACAAGAATATAGATACTACTGATGTGTGTGTGTGAGAGAGAGAGAGAGCAAATTGTTACAATAGTAACAAGTTAGTAACACAATCAACAATATAAATAGAAAATGGTTATCAGCGTTTCAATTTTCAATCAATATATATATATTTATGAACTAAAGGGAAATATCAGCAAACACTGACTGATCTAATCTGTGAAAAAAAATTATCAATCGACTAAGAAAGAAAAATTCATCATTCCGTTTCTTTATGTACACTTTTTTTTTAAAAAACTAGGATTGGATTACATAATGTTGTTTAGTTGAAAGAGCCTGAATAAATTATTCAAACTATGTGGCAAAATAACAACAACAACAGTTGATTGGCGAGCGAGCTTAGTCAACTACTGATGAATAATTAGTTATGGTTATTCAAAAATAGAAATTTCTATTTCAAATCATGATAATAGTAGATTGAATAATCGTTAATTTAATTCAAAAAAAAAAAATTCACATAACAATTACTTACTTTACTTAATAAATGTCGTGTTTCATTGATTTGTTGAAAAATATTAAAACATGTTGACAAGGTGGAACGATTCAATGTAACACTGATAAGAGCACGTATATAAGCCAAACAGAATAATGATGCTAAGATTGTATGAAAAATACCTGAAAAAAATTTTATAAGGAGAGATAAGGAAGGCATTGGTTATATATATATATTATCGCGTCTACATACTGAATACTATTATAGTTAAATAAGTAAAAATGAAAAAATGTTCGAAATCTATACATATCACACAAATACATTAGATTTTTCAGATTAACTCTGTCTTCTTCTTCTTCAAAAGTTTTTTTTAAAAAAAAAAGTGGACTAATTGCTTTAAATTCCAGAAGCAAAATAGTTTTGTTCACGCTAGTGATGTGAATAATGATGAGAGTATAAATAGTATGCAATCTGATTTGCTCAAATTGTAGTTACATATGTTGGAACAATTAGATTATTTTGAATTGGTACAATCAGCTTAGTCAGTTAGTTTAAAGGCAGAACTTCGTACGTACGTACGTACGTACGTACATAAGTTCAAGCTGCAATACCACATTAGCACAGAGACGTAATTTTGACTTCAAATCCGATAGTGGTAGAGATAGTAGGAGTATTAACAGTAATCATAAAGATTAGGGTTAGACGACATTATTCAACAAGTAGAATTTAGTGAAATAAAATTAAAAAGAAAAAGGTGAAGGTGATGATGAATTCAAAAGATTAAAATTTGGGAAAATACAAAGAATAGATGCATCTGCGCCATCGCAAACGGTTTTGAGCCATTTCATTCAAGGTCTTTAACCATCGATTACTATCATCTAGCGAAACCCAGACAGTTGGTCTAAACTGACCAATATAACTCAGTCCACTTGTCAATCACTTCATGGATTTCTGCCATGTTTTTGGTTTGACCGCCTCTAGCTTTCTTACGACCTATTCTTATAACGTGTAAAACAAGTCCCAACCACCTTAACTGATGAATTTTCAAAACTTCATCTATTGATTAGCTATTACTACCTAGCTAAAATAACAACTAATAATAATAAGAAATTAAAAGCAAACAATTCATTAAATTAAACGGATAATCCTCTCTCTCTGCGTGACATCAAATGAACATCAGTAATAGGTAGTAAGTAGATCCGAAAGTAAATCAGACTACAGGTATATAGACGTAATGATGTATGCTCAATTAATAGCCTGCATTCAACTGATAATAATAGGAGTAAGAGAGATTAGAGGAAAATCTAAATATATATATATATATATATATATATATATATATATATATATATATGATGGAGTCCACGTTGCCTATGACCAATTTCATTGATGCAAATGTATTCAATCAATAAATACAATTAAATACAAAAGGCTTTGATAGTCAATTATTTTAATAATATTCAGTAGGAAAAATTAAATCATGGAACTAAGTAAAGGTTAGTACACTGAATAGGTGTGACCAGTCTTTCGATATAAGAGAAAAAGAAAGCAGTAATTTCTTTTTAATTATTTAAAATTGAATTGTATTTATGATTCAATGAGTAGATCTTCTTCTTTTTCTTGTTCTCTTATTTTACGCTTGTCACCTGTGATGAAGCATAAGCCGCCCACCAGTCCCTTTCCAGTTTTGCCCAATTTTTGTCCATTCTTCTCATATGTTTTTCTATTTCTCAGTGTAATGTGTTTCTAGGGCCTTCCTCTTTTCCCTTGATCTTGAGGGTTCCAAATGAGCGCTTGTCTTGTGATGCAATTAGGTGCTTTCCACAGTGTGTGTCCTAACCACTTCCACTGCTTCTTCTTGATTTCCTCCTCCATTGGAATCTGGTTTGTTCTTTCTCACAATAGATTGTTGCTGATGGTGTCTGGTCAGCGGATCCGAAGTATTTTGCGTAGACAACTGTTAATGAATACTTGAATCTTCTGGATGATAGCTTTGGTAGTTCTAATGAGTAGACAGAATGATATTTATATAACTAGGGTATTCCTTATTATTATTATTATTATTATTATTATTATTATTATTATTAACCTACCTTCATGTGGCCATATATGAGGTAATAATCCAAGTAGAATATCAATTGGATCTTGAAGCAAAGCAAACGTTGGAAACCGAAGAGAACTAAAAAAAAAGAATGAAGGTAGGATATGAAGAAGAAATCACACATATATGCATATACATTGACTGATATGATTATCATGTAATTAATGAATAATTACATTGTAAGAGTTAATAAAAATAAAAATCTTCATTCTTAATTATTTTAAATGAAATCATGAAAATAATAGATTATAACATATATGTGAGACGATGAGTACACATATATATATATATATATATATATATATATATATATATATATATATATATATATATATATACAGTAAATGTTGTGTATTTTGTCAATTATTTATAATGCAAATTATGTTGATTAAAAACAACTTGGCACTTATCGATATCACATAAAATGAGTGATCTTGTAAACTGAATGACATAACTGTTACGGTTGGAAATCTTTACATTAACTGATCTCAGTTTCACTTTTTCATATCATGGAATCTGCAGCTTGTGTAATGTAGCAAGATGTGAACAGTTATAATAACTTTTCATCTTCTTTGGTAATCTCATATAGATCTTTTAAATACTTTGTTAGTATTATATCAGTTATTAAATATTATTCGTAGTCACATGAATCCATCGAATTAGAACATAATCTTTAAAAAACAAACCACTACTAGTGGACTAGCCACACAAAATTGAATGCAGACATCAACTCTAATTGAACGAAAATAAATCTGTTTTTTTACGATTCAAGAAAAGTTATATACTTATATAATTACAATCAATCAATGCTATACAAGAATCAAATCACGGTACATGATGTGAATCTCAAGCATAATTGTATGAGTTGTTATATTTGAATTGTACCCGATAGAACAAGTAATTAATTGTTCGTGATTTTAAATCTACTAAAACATTAAGTAATTTTTTCACAAACCAAAGGTATTAAACGAAAAAAAAAACAATGTTACCAACAACAAAGCAGACACACACGAATAGCATGACGAATTGTATTTGTCTGTAACAAATTATTTAGACTTGCCATTGATTCATCTCTAAAATGTCATATTGTGGTACGCTGACTAGATTATCTTCATAATTTCTTATTAATATCTAGTATGCAGCTATCAATTGAATGCACAATGTGAGTTTCAGCTAGATTGGCCTGTGGTCATCATTCGAATCTTGATGTTTATCGTTTGAACACTAGAATTCAGGATCATTTATTTTTAAACAGTAAAACCTATGTTATAGAGATACACTTAATGAAAGTCTACAAAGAATAAGACAGGAATTTTACACTACTGATGTTCTCGTATACACTCTGAGATCAGTGGTTGAATTGTGATGCTTTCATTATCCTTTTAAATATCAACATAAACAACCTCTACTTCATACTATAACTTTCGTTGTGTAAAACAAAAATGAAAACTTTTCAAATCAAGCCACTAAGTTCTTAGATTGCAAAAATACCATTAAAAGTATATTTAGTATGCAAAACTTGAGATAATATTACTTTTCCTCAGTAAAACAGACCAATAATAATGCTAATAACAATTAAAAAAAATAAAATATACATACACAGTGTCAGTTTCCGATTGCACTACTTCATCAACCATAAGACATTGTAGTAAAATCTTAATATCTGATGACTGATCATATATTTTTCGGAGATAACAAATAAATTCACCTAGAACGAAAAATATATAAACATATAGAAAAGAAAAATAATATTCTACATTGTATTGTATTTATGATAAAAACGAAAGAAAAAAACAAATAAGAATGAAGAAATTAAATCCGACATTGAAAAATTTATTCGGCTAATATAAACATATATCTGGTAATAATAAAAGTATTCAGTTATATAATATGAGATATATCAGGGTATTGACAAATCAATAATAAACAGAGTTAAAGAATAGTTCATTTGCATTGGTTGTCTCAATCTTCCAATCAATGTTTAAGACTGAAATTGATCAATCTCCTTGGCATCCTGTGTGGATTGTCTTGATATTGCCTTCAAGATAAAAAAAATCTCTGGAACGCTCGTTCCACACTATTTGGGACTCGTCATCTGGATACACCTGCATCTTAGAGTTGATATTCAATCTGGGACTCCTAACTGGTACCAACTATTGTATAATTCACTCAGCTACTGAGTTCAGATATCCAATTCTGCTAATAATGCTTGTAACTTAAAGGCAATATATAAGTGATCCTCCGTACGGGATGCACATATGTCAAAGAGATTGATTGATTAATTGAAAAAATGCAAACAATCACTACAAATGAATTAATCTTCAACTCACTATATAAGCAAGCGACCACTTAGACCCAATAGATAGATATAGATGGTGTTCGAAACGAAAGACACTAACTAGATTCGAGTCCCAGAGTAAACATTAACTATGAAACACTAGTACATCCAGCTGATGAGTCCCAAATAGGACATAACGCGCATTCTGGACTCCATGTTCTATCTATTCAATATAAGCCTAGCCATACTGAGGCAGTTCGAATGAGATGCCCATATATGTCAACCAGGACTGATCACATCTCAGTTACAGTATCGATAACAAGATAATCCAAACTATTTCAAAATGAATTGAATCAGATAAGATAGTTAATCTATCACTACGTATACACAAACAATATTTAGAATAGATAAGTAAGGACTAATAGAATATGCATTTTGTTCTATTCAGGACTCGTCAAACACATATACTTGGATGCAAATGTCAATGTTCACAAGGAAACTTTGAATATTAATGTATTATCCATTGAGCTACTGAATGCGGACAGCCACTAAACTTATTCAAACATTATGATGTTTATATCTTTATTGGTAGGGGGTTTGAATTATCACTTTGTAGATATTCAGGACAAATTTCTCTGAATTTTCGTTGCCATTCTCACTTAGCTCACAGCTTGAATATAACTATTGCTAACAAAATAATCCAAATTTCTTTATTAATGAAGTAATTACATAGATACCAAGAAGAAAATCCTCTACAAATACTCAATACCGAATGGAGTAGAATAATAAACTCAAGCACAAACAAAGTGTAGTATATGATCAGTAATACTATTCAAATAAAAAAGTGTTATCAAAGAAGGACACGACAGAAAAAAATAGATTTAAAAAATATAAATTCAACTTACGCCAATAACATCGACGTGATACCATGGAATATTGTGAAGGATAACTCATCAGAACACTGAGTTCACATTCTAGTTGACATCTTGTATTGGATTAATGAATATATACACGAATTTGAAAAGTGAGAACGAAACAGAAAACAACGAAGACAAATAATAAATGGTATTAATGAAAACCATAGAGTAATAGACAAAGTATGAAAAACAATAAAACAAGATCAAATAAATTTTAAATAAATTGGAATACTGAAAATCTGCAATAAAACATAGAGGAATATGTTAAGCTTGCACGTAAACACGTCAACTTGATATGCTTGAACTATTACGAGTTACCTAGTTGGAAAACGAGAGCGAGGATCGAGTGACACGACATGCTACTCAAATCCAATTATCCCAAGCCCCATATTTAGTAAAATAAGATGTGATATGAAGTAGAACATGTATTCTACAAACATCCAGAAAGTACGAGGTCCGAATCCAGAAGAGAGTCAGGATCCCGGACTAGGGATCCGAGACCGAGCCCTGGTCCTGGTCGTGGTCATAAAACGTTACAAATAATGCGTATTTATGCATTTTGGTCGAATAGGAAACAGCATCGAAGTCTGTGACATTGACAGTTAAGACGACCAATAGGAAGCAACATTTGAAGTGACATTGATAGTCAGGACAACCAATAAGGAACAACATTGGAGTATGTGACATTGATATTTAGGACGACCATAAAATTGACCAGTAGCAATTAACCAATAGGAATTGACCAATAATTCTCTTAGGATATTGGATGAATATACTAACAGAATAAATAAATTTCAGACAGTGAATGTTGAAGAAAGGAATGTCGAACTCACATAAAATTAACTATATGCAGTCGACCAACAGGAGAAAGGCAGAGGGTGAGAATAGGCGACCTTACCTGACACTAGTCTTCACATGGAATTAGTCCGTGAGCTGCCCTCCATGCATGACTTTGCAGTGTAGTTCGTCATAAGAATTCCGTATGATACTGGATATCTTCTCAGACGCACCAGCCTCCATAGAGTCACACAAATGATGCTGTCAAATGCTTTCTCTTAGTCAATGAAGTTGACGTAGAGTGGTGAATTCCATTCAATTGATTGTTTTACAATGATTCGTACTGTTACAATTCGGTCGCTACACTATCAATTCTTACGGAATCCAGCCTTTTGATCTTAAAGTTGGACGTCTATTGAATCTTCCATTCTATTTAACAACACTCTGTTGAAGACTTTTCCTGGTATTGAGAAAAGAGTGATGCCTCTGTAGATCTCACACTTACTTATGTCTCCTTTATTCATTATCTTGGTGAGGTGTCCTTCCTTCCAGTCTTCTGGTACTTATTCTTCCCTCCTAATCTTGTTGAACAGAGCGTGCAACGTTTTTGCAGTTGCTGCTATGTCTGCTTTCGGTGCCTCAGCTGGTATGTTATTCGGTCCTGCAGTTTTGCCGCTCTTGATTTTGCCTGTTGGCCATGGTGACTTCTTCGACTGTTGATGAGTTAACACCATTTGCGAATCTGCTACTCCATTATCTTCCCACGATATCTTCATACCTAATTTTGTCCATTCCAACACCACCGTTGATTAGGCCTATCATTAACATGGTCAGATTGTTTCGCCAGGTTTTTATACTATAATTGAACGCCGCACCTCATGAAACTGATTGTTATCGTCTCCGTCGCTGTCATCGGTGTAGTCATAACATTAAATGACATCCATTGTCTTTCCCTTCCTCTTTGCTTCGAAGGATGCTTTGATAATCTTGGGTCTACGTGATGCTCAGCTTATAAGTGCTGTTCGTGCTCATTTGAAGGGCATCAGAACAACTTCTATTGTCTGGGCAACAGCACTCTTCCTAAAGCTGATATTTTTGTCCAGCCTGAGTCCAATGGGTTTGATTGATTCTAAGTACCATCGGATTGCATATTTTCATTTCCGCAGCAACTTATATGATTCTGTTGAACTCTCACATTGTGAGAAAATTCTATGTTCCTATATTAATTGATGTTGTGCATGTCAGAAGAGGCACCGGTTTTGTAACTTCTGAAGAAACTATGCTCAAACTATGAGACATCAAAAATGTTCTAAATGATAACTGTTCAACTTCAAAAGTCGAGTTTAAATGGTTTGAATTATTTTTTTCTGGCTAAATTCCTATCGGAAAGGTTAATTTCTTTATGATGTTTTTAACCGCATGCACAACCCTGCTCATTTTTCCGGGTTGGGCATTGGCAGCAACCCTAGAAGGACTCTAAGAGAAATGTAGTAGCAAACAATCAGAAGTGTGAAAGCCGTGTGGAAAGTTAAGTTGGAAAAAAAAGCATTCGGATTTATTGTTACTAGCAAGGATTTATCATTAATGACAAAAACTAATTAATCCCGTGATTACCAAAGCACAATAATCTGAAATTCTCCATAAAATGTGATTTTGTAATTAAACTGGCACCGTTTCAAATGAAAAAAAAAGTTATGATCATCATTATTATTATCATAATGAATTTACCTTAACAATAGAGTAGCTTCATATTTACCACCAATTCTGTCGAACATTATACCTTGACGATGAGAATTTTGCTCCGAAACACTTAAATCATCCCAGAATGTTGAACCAGTATGTGGTAACGAATTCTAACAATTAAAAAGAAATAATTCGATTGACTGATAGTATTTTAAGAACATACATTTTGATGTTTAAGCAGATATATAAAGGTTAAAACTGTAAACAACCTCGTCATAGCCTATTTAGTTCAAATGTACCATTTATATTCAGTATGAATTATTCACTTCTCTCCTCTAATTCACTTCACTCCTATTTGATAATAATCAGTCAAAATCGATCATTTTCAGAGTTATCCAAACATCTGAAACACTAACCATACCGATGTTAGTATTGAAAATAAAACATGTCCGGCTCTTCTTTTTTTCTTACCATCAGCTACACAACAACAGACTAAATATCTTAATGTTATTATTCAAGATATTATCCAATTCATGTATAAATACCCATCTCTTCATAACGTAAATTTTCATAAATCACTGTGATTATCATTACGATGAAGATGATGATGAGTATATTTTCTTAAACATGCGAAGAAATATTAATGAATGAAGTTGGTGTAGATATAATTATTTTGTAGATAGTATTTGTTGCAGATTGATTTTATTCATATCTCTAGTAGAATTGCTGATAGTCAACTATGGATGATCTAAAAGCCAGCTATTCATTGCTCCTTGGTTTTCAATAGTACCTCATATAAATAATATGCCCTCCACCCAATCAATTTTATCGATTTTTCTCTTAATTATTGTGTCCTAAACACATGAAGAATTTAATTACCACTAACTTTATCCTACTATTTCTTATTGAATTCATACTGATTCAAACATTGCGTAATCCTTAATCAAACAACTAAACATCGCGTACTGATCTGATGTAAAATCTCTTGATTAGTGTTGGATATAAGTGTGTTAGCTATGCGGTATTCACTCCGTCATACAACATTATACCGATTGAATAAGAAAGGAGAAATTAGGACAAACGAATTGAAAGCTTGATTCAAATATATAATTTAATAAGATATTCATTCAATTTTTAAATGGTTTAGATTTATCAAAACAAATCTGATCAAATTTCAGTTAAAAGTATCAACAATATGTTAATTCAAACCATATCGAAATAAATTAAAACTCATGTTGGTTGCACAAGTGAATGGTTATGTAGACTCAATAGATAGATTAGCAGATAAGGAGATGGTGTTCGAAGTGAATGTCACCAAGTTCGAGTCTCGAAGCGAACATTACCTATGAGAAATAGCCGACGAGTCCCGAATAGGACGAAACGCAAGTCCACTGCTAGCCACATTCTATATATTCTATATCAATAAGATATTGGAGTTCATACATAAAGACTTTCTATCTTATCACTTTTGGATATAAAATGATTTTTTAGACACAAAATACTATGGAAAAGAACGATTTAAGAAATCGGTATAAGGGTTCCTGTTAGTATAATTTAAAACAGCAGTAAAAATTAATACTTTAACCAAGGAAAACACTGAAATTAGTGAAATGTACAAAAGATGACAAAAAAATGAACAACAACAAATGAAAATTTATTATGACTTCCAACAACACGTTATTCACTTTACCAATATATGTTCATTTCTTTATCGATTTTAAAAATAAATTAATACAAGTCCTAAATAGAGAACATGAACATTCAATTACTGAGACAAAAAGATGAGAATATGAAAAAATTTAATCGAAGTTCAATTAGTGTATAACAATCAATACACTGGTCAGAATTTGATCACAGACAACAGGGTATGTATGAATTCATCTCTTACATATTGATAAAAGTATACTAGTTAAAAGATAACTTGATTATTTCTATATACAGTAAAGAGATCATTTACAACATATAACTTATCTAGGTAGGTGATGCAACGAGATTTGAACTTATGGAACCGATCGATTGCAACTAAACCCGTGTTCAAAATAACTGACAAGTTCTCATTCTATTATTATGAAGCATTTCAACTATATGAAGCTCAAACAAATAATTCTGCAGTCTATATATATACATAACGAACACAAATTTTCATATCAGGGAACAAAAATATGACCAGTTCCAAGAAAAAAATCTCGAAAAACTTACTAGTCTACCTAAAAGAATTGAGATATTTTGTTGACCATAGTCTATAGAGGGGAATAATTGTTGTACATTGTTAAATTTATCAGATTTATTCAATGGAACCAATGGTAAAAGATGATGAACAGGTCTTCTACACAGAGGGCATACAACCCAATAACGATCTGTTGCAGTATTACGATTACATCCCTTTAATAAAAAGATTAAAAAAATTAAGAGTTATAAGTTATGTCTGATTAAAGCTTAACTATTCTGGTACTGAAATTTTGAATCCAAAAACGTAGTGAGAACACAAAGATTAGTATGATCTAAACTTATTTTACTATGGAAATAAATCAAACTAATATCTGAATACTATTTTTTTTTATGATATATTCACAGTCAGATTTGTATAAATTTAACTAAAATGTATTAAACAACAGCTAATTCACTATTCTGCTATCGCTTGTAGTAACCTGAACCAACGTATCAGACATTGACTACTGAAAGGGCCTTTTGACTGATAAAATAGAATACTTAAGCGGTGATCAATAGAGTTAAAATATTAGATTTATAGTCCCTCGATCAAGTTTGTGTGATTTATATTGGTGACTAGCTTTACTATCATTTGACTGATCACAGAATACATGTTTGAACAGCAATCCATGTACATTTTTCATCAAACCAATATGGTTATAATCTCATTGTACATAAACTTTTACATTGACCCAGCGACATATGTCAAGAGAATGAACAGAGAACAAAAAGTCACAAATAAATCTGGGTTTGTTTGATAAGCAGTAAAATACAATTATTTATTTGAAACCATGAATCGATCAATATTAGACCACCGTTAGAAACCTGGAAGCACTGGACAGCCGTTTCGTCCTGGTATGGGACTGCTCAACAGTGCGCATCCACGACTAATATTGATCGATTCATGGTTTCAAATAAACTTAACAATCTTCACAACTCCGTAATACAAAATACAATTATTGTTTGTTGATAGTTTATTTTATTCAACTGTTCGAACTGTAGTATAAACAGGATAGAACTAGAACCTATAACTGTCTTATCTAACTCTGTTAACTAATCATTATTGTGGTTGTCAACGGATAGAAAAAAACACAAATTATATTTCAAAAGATTTTATACAACATACGTGTGTACAATAACGCTCATAACATTCTCGATGAACAGCATGACCGCAGGTTTGTAATAAAAGTCCTGGATGTAGTAGAGGTAATGTTCTATATATTGGAAAGGGTATCGCATTACTCCACCACTGACGAGATTCAGTATAACATGTTTGACGTTTTGATCGTTTATTATCAGGTAGAGTTTGAGGTTCAGGAGATGACGATGATGATGACGATGACGTCGATGAACGCTTTGTACGTGATACTCCAGAAGGATTAAACGTAGCATTAGCTGTTATAGGATTGATTGGTAGACCAACAATTCCTGCTGGAGCTTGACTACTACCACTAACTGAAGATGGATTATCAGTGTTGGTTGAATTAGTTAGCTGAGAATCTTGCAATGAACTAGTAAAAGGTGGTCGCTCTGGTGACAACCATGATAAGTCGTCATTCTGGATAACAAAAAGAGGATCACTCAATGACTGGCTAAGATCTAGACCGGATAATGTTGGTATCAAAGCAGTTTCACGAAGCTGAAGCATAACTTTTGGAATAAAAAATAAATAAATGAAAAAAACTGAATAAAACACTTGGTTTACGATATTAATCTGCTTATGACATGATCAATTGTGAATTACACAATCCAACACCAACTACTAGTGGTTATGGTAATCACGTGGGTCGCAACTAGCTAGTTTGTACCCTACCTAAAACATGATCGGGTCCAATAGTCAATTATCTTATACAACGATGATGTGATGCAATAATGATGAACTTCAGAGAAAAAGAAAAATTGTATATTTATTGCAGAAAATTGATTCGACAAAAATCATGACTGTCTTTAAACAACAGATACTGGATGATATTCTACAAAAAATAGGCGATTGTTCAACTAATAAAAATGCTTTATTTCGTAAAACATAAAACTAAACAATCTTGATAAGATTTAAAAGTTTTATTTGTTATCCAAACGAGTAATTTCAAGTGATTTGAATATCTCAACGATGGAGAAAACCTTACTGGTTTCTTTATAGCATTTTTTTTTTGGAAAAAGATGATCAAATGTATGACTATTGATAAATGAATAAAATTATAACTTACGACTTGATTCACAGATTAAGTCTAAAAGAACCATATCATCCACTGATGGTCGACCGGACGTTTGACAAATCACACATTCATACATTGGTTCACTGTCATCTAACTGTTCTTTACGATCAATTGTCTGTTGATCTAAATAAAGAATTAAATTTTTTTGAAAATTAATTATTATTCAAGTTCAATAACACTAGGTAATAATTTGAACAATTGTCGACTACTGAAATTTTTGTCTACATTTTGTAGTAACACAGAAATTAATCTAAGAGTGCAAAATCAGTTTGTAGTAAAAATTACTATTACACTGGTGACGAACTTCCAAAAGATTTCCTTAGGAATCGTAATCGTAGTCGAAGGTTCTTACAATGTGGGGAAACCGGAGAGTCATCAGAATAGCTGCAGAAGTGAAAAGTTACAAACTGAAGGTGCTTAGAATCAGTGAAACCCATTAAACGCAGGTTGGACGAGCTTGAGGAGAGCTACTGTTATACTCTGGTCATGAAAAAGATAATGCCTCATACACACAAGGAGTTGCACTGATGCTGTCCAAACAAACACAAAAGGCAACGATAGGATGGGAATCTCAATGAACGTCATCCAATGCTATGCACCTACCAATGGCTACAATGACGACGTTAAAGATCGATTCTACGAAAGGCTGCAGTCAATCATCGAGAATTGTTCACCAAAGGATTTGAACATTCTGATGGAAGACCTAAATGATATGGATATGAAGACATCAAAGGATGTCAGGGACTGGGAAAAAGGAACTAAAACGGTGAGAGGTCTGCAAACCTATGTGCCTTCAACAAACTGGTCATCGGTGGCACAATATTCCCACACAAGCGCATACACAAAGCTACATGGATTTCACCGGATCACACTACTCAAAACCAAATCGACCATATCTGTATCAATCAAAGGTTCAGAAGAACCATAGACGTGAGAACCAAGAGAGGAGCTGATATAACCTCAGATCACCACTTGCCGGTCGCTAAAATGAAACTGAGACTCAGGAAGTACTGGACAACGGGGCAGACAACATCACAGAAGTTTAATACAGCCTTTATTCGAGATACCGTAAAACTCAACGCATTCAAGATAGCCCTCAGCAATAAGTTGCAGGCCTTGCAGGATCTACTCACAATGGAGAGGAAACAAACTTGAAGAACAATTGGGAGGGGATCAAGGAAGCACAGGAGGTACCATCACAAGGAATGGATCTCTATTGGTACTCTTGAAAAAATTGAAAGGAAGAACAGTAAGGCAGCAATCAACGTAAGATGAACAAGAGCAGAGAAAGCCAAGACATACGCATAATACAAAGAAGCAAATATGCAAGTGAAGAGGAGCAACAGAGCCGACAAACGTAAACACGTATATGACACAGAAATGAGGGTGAAAAAGGCTGTAAGAGAAGGAAACTTGAGACAATTTTATGATACACCAAAGACACTCGCCGGAAACTATCATAAACTAAAACGACGGCTGAAAAGCAAGGAAGACAAAGTAATCAGCAACATTTCAGAACAGAGAAATAGGTGGATAAAACACTTTGAGGAACTTTTGAATCCACCATCTCAAACGAACACACACCACAACGAAGCAGCATCCCCGAACTTTCCAATCCACGTTGACCCACCAACAATTGATTAGATCGGTACGGCCATCAGATAAATCAAGAACGGCAAAGCAGCAATACCAGATAACATTCCAGCAGAGGCACTAGAAGAAGACGTAACAGTAACAGAGAAAATTTCCCACACCCTCTTCAGAAAGGTTTGGGATGAAGAACAACTACCAAGAGACTGAAAAGAAGGATACCTCATCGAAATACAAAAGAAAGGTAATCTCAACAAGTGTAAGAAGTAGTGAAGGTTGACAAAGCATCATTCTTTGCTCAATAACAGGCAAAGTTTTCAAGAGGGTACTTTTAAACAGAATGGACTTCGTAGACGCTCAACTTCGAGATCAACAGGCTGGATTTCGTAAGGATCGATCGTGTAACGACCAAAATGCAACATTACGGATAATTGTGGAACAATCAGTTGAATGGAACTCACCACTATACATCTACTTCATCGACTACGAGAGAGCATTCAATAGCGTGGACAGGAAAACAATGTGGAGGCTTCTTCGACACTATGGTGTGCCTGAGAAGATAGCCAACATCATACAGAACTCTTATGACGGATTATAACTGCAAAATCGTGTGTAGAGGACAGCTCACAGACTCGTTCGAAGGAAAGAGTGGTGTCAGGCAAGGTTGCTTACTCTCATTATTTCTCTTTCTCCTGGTGATCGACTGAATTATGACGTCAACACCAGAAGGGAAGCTAAGGCATACGGCGGACAACTACGTCACAGCTGGACGCTCTAGGTCTTCGCAGATGATCTGGCTCTTCTATAGCATACACAACGACAAGTGCGAAAGAAGACGACCAGTGTAGTTGCAGTCTCAACATAGTCAAATATTTAGGCAAGATCTTTTGATACAAAAAAACATGCACCAACCAAATTACACTTGATAGAGATGCTTTGGGTGACGTAAGAACCTTTACATATTCGGGCAGCATCATTGACGAGCAAGGCGGATCTGATTCAGATATGAATGGACGTATCAACAAAGTAAGGGTAGTAATTCTGCAATTGATGGATCTCTAAAACCCAAAACAACTGTCAACCAACATCGAAGTAAGGGTTTTTAATACAAACAAGACATCTCAACTGCACGGGGAAGAAACCTGGTGTAGTATCTACCGCTGGACTGAGCAAACCAGATTCCAGAGGCGGAGGTAATAAGGAAGAGGCGCTGAAGGTGAATAGAACAAACATTCAGGGAAGCACCTAACTGTGTCACAAGACAAACCCTCACTTGGAATCCTCAAGGCCAAAAAGAGAATTAGAGCATGGAACTCTCTGCACCTAGAATTGAAAGCAGACAAGAAAAGAATAAACAACAAGTGGGTAAAAATGAAGTGAAGGCTCAGGATAGAGTAGGTAGGAGAATGCGAAAGTAATTAAGTAATTAAGATTACATTAAAATTGAAAAACAAGATCACAATAGCAAAGAAAGTGATATGTAATTACAATTCTTTATCTCAAACAGTAGTATATGCTAAGTGTTTGTATTCATTTGAATAAATAGTAACATTTTTCTAAACAAATTTATTCCTCTATTCAACTCTATGTGATTTTATTGAGCTGTAAAATCAACTGTTTTCACAATATTTACTTCAAAAAAATTTTTGAAGAAAACAAATGGAATGAAGCATTTTTCATACTATGTGAATCAGTAGCTTAGAGTACAAGAGATTCGCTATTGAAATGTTACATTACTCAAAGCTCATCACTTAGTAATTATAAGTAAAGACTTTACGTAGCATAACCTATAGTATTATGAAAAACAAGTTTATACAATGACACATTATTGTAACTTACTAAGCGATTCCATATCCTTTAAATGAGTAGATGCAAATGCTTTTTGCTTAGATGCCATTTGTTCCATGAGTCGTTTACGTCGTTCTTGTGCAGCACGTTTACGTTCATCACGATTACCGACAGCTGATGTTGTTGCAAGATAAGATGAATTCGGTGTATTTTGATTAGTTGAAGAGTTACTAATAAGTATGAATAAAGAAAGCAAGAAAAAGAATTGAGATCAAGTTTTATATTATTTCTAGAAAAAAAATAATAAGTCAACATTAAAATGAAAATACATATTGTAATTTTCGATTATTTGCTTAAGGTGATTTATTCAAAATAAAACTATTTCTGTCTGATAATGAATAGGGTTTATAGTAAACCAGTAGAAACTCGTACGGCTATGATTTTTCAGCACTCTAACAACAATTCTTACAATTCAAGTTTGTGTTACATAGCGGCTCTTTCTAATACGGTGTACCAGTAAGCATGAATAGATTGAGGCTTTTTGGTGACATTGAAATCAAATTTATCTAGGATTACAGTCACAAACAATGAAATTGAACTATACAGGGCGGAAATGATCTGCTGGATGGATTGAACTATTCACAATAATTGATCACTACATAATAATAAATATGACATCTCATATTCATGAATAATGATCAAAATAATACTGAAGTAATCCATTAGTGTTGCACTACAAAACTGAATACATAATTCAGTATCGTAGTTGTGTAATCGCAAAGCTATATGCAACTTTGACCTAGTTCAATATGATATTCGGTTCACCAATGAATTCTTAATATCATAAAGGGCTGTAATTTAAAAAATTGGATGATTAAAGCTTAATTCATAATCTTATGTATACACAATGTAGAATCTGGCATATACAAACTTGGACAAAAGTATTCAAAGTGAACTGCATTAAGTGATCTTCAATAAGGAGGCAAATATGAAACATAACTTTTAGGCTACTATCGAACGTTTTAGTAGTATATACGATAACAACTAAATTACACAAGCGAAGCCAATCAAAATGTACGGTCAATTACGACAAGCAATCCAGTGACGGACTGAATACACCAAACTAATTTTATAGGTCGATAAATCGGATGATATTTCATGATAGAATTTTTATGCTCATATGCCGTTAGATGTGTTTCGCGTATGCGAAGAGGATAATTAAAACCACAATACCGAATCCTAGTAACCTTTTAATTCAGAATTAATATATATCAAATGCCGATCAGCTACTCAAATTGTTGAAATCATGTGTATTTAGCAAGTTTAGAATCTATAGAGAAGATGAACTGCCACGAATTACTGTTACAACAACATAAATGTCATACTGAAAAGAAAAAAGAAACAAATTTCATGAAATACCAATTAATCCGAATTTGGATGTGAATCAAGGACTTTTATCGTATTACTTTACAATGGTATTAGAAAAGTGTTAAAACAACTTTTACATTCTTGTGTAGCACACACACACACACACACATACCCATCATTTGTTGACGAGAATGAAACATCAATGTCATTGCTTAAACCGATCCCATCTACACTATCATCCATTTTCTTAGCATTACATGGCATGGTTGCTGCTAATTGTGATTTCTGTTCACTTTGTTTTTCAATATTTGATGATGATGATGATGAAATAGCATCCATTGGTTGAAGTGTATGTAATTGCACCACTTGTTTATATGGTGATCTAGCTCTAGTTAAATACATTTTAATAGCTGATTTATTATTTTCTGATAAAGATGCAATTTTATCTAATAATCGTTCTATCCAATAAGCACCATCACCGAAATTTGTAAAATGACATTCATCATTTATTGATGTCGTCAGAGAATGATCATCATTAGTTGTGCATGAACTGTACGTTTCTGCTAGATAAGAAAACAATATTTAAAAAAAAACGACTAATTGTGTAATTGCAATCATGATAAAGAGTTAGAAAAATCAATATTTTACGAAACAAGAAAAGCTTACGATCTTAGTAGTTGAGTAGTAACGTCTAAGATTGCATAACTGGATGACCTAGTGAGCATTCGCTCTATACAAGATTACCGATACATTTTGCTGATAAGTGCTAACTAGTACGGAACCTACGTCAAGGTTTTCCGAAAGACTATCCGAAGTTTTTGATGATGGTGTTGCTAAGAAGAACAATCAAAGCTTAGAAATTAGACTGCTCAGCTCATAGAAAAAAACTCTAACAAAATCAACCAACTGAGCAACAAATCTTCTTTACCATCAAAATTTCCAACCATCTAACATTTTCACAAAATATGGGTTTTGAGGGAAATATAAGTTAGAGAATTATCATTGAAAACAAAGGAGCATCAGACAGTTTAGTTTGGCATAGTCTGGTACTGCTCAAACAGAAGCTGAAAAACCATAATACTTCAATATTCATTGAGATCATGAACTAATGAGCATCCATGATACCGCACAGCTGACGAGCTCCATATTAGGGATGAAACGGTTGTCGAGTGACTTCTAGGATTGCAACGGTGGTCTAACATTGATCAGTTCATGATTCCAATGAAATTCAACAATCTACATAAGTGTATATTAACAAATATTTTGATTTATTGATTTAACGATATTTTACTCATGGCACGTTTTGAAGGTGGTTTGATTCGAATTCAAGAAGTGCAATGTGTGTAACTGATAAGTATTACAAACCGAAAAATCAGTAAATCTTTTATATTTCATGGCTTTTAGTCAGTGGACGATAATCAGCATAGAATCCGGAACAAATGGACGTTAACTAAAATGGAAAAGCATGTATACATATGAAGGATTTCTGGTGTAATGGATGCTACTCACAAGTGATTTATAGGATGGATGCAGGGGAGCGTTGCTACCAGAGAGAGAGAGAGATAGGAGTGCCTGGAGATCGCAATGAAAGTATATTGAAGATATGAGAGAAGACAGTCAATAACTGCAAATGGATGTCTCAAAATTATGGTGTACAAGTTTGTAAATAGATTGTATCTACTCCAAATATATTTATTCTATCTGGTCTTGACTTCTTCGTACGTTACACTGCGACTCAATATCTAGTGGAAAAATAAAGAATGAACATATCTTCGATAATACGATAGGTCCTGAACCATGTCATCTACCGTTTCTATCCACTGATGAAGGTGACCTCAAGCTTCAGTGATTCACCACATGACATCAAATGATGATGGAAACTATCTCTAAATTGATTTAATCTCTTCATAATCATCGAACAGAAGAAAGAAGGTATAAACTTGAGTTTTAACAAATTGAAAGGGATAAAAAATTTAAGAGAAGCCTCAAAAAAAATCTTAGGGTATACTCACTAGTATTCGCTGATTCTTGATGATTTGTTGATTTATTCCTTTCTTCGGGTAGGAAATAAGTCGGTTTAGAAGAAGCAAAATAACGTAGTTCAGGTGGTAGACTTTCAATAATCGAAGGAGTAAGATTCACATTATTCGATGTAGAGGATGATGATATATTACGATTACTAGAATCATTCAAATTTGAACATTCACGCCGTTCATTTGGCATTAAAACAGCCATACAACGAGGAGTTAGACAATTATTATTTGCAGTAGTATTATGAGTAACAGTATTGTGCTTTGGAGAAGGGTCAAGCAAATTATCCCAACTAGCATTAACTTGATTTTGACCTAATGTTATAGGATTGTTGCCACCTACATTTATATTTGACATTGTTGTTACCATTATTGGTGAATCTGTTGTTCCAGATTGTTGAGCAGTCAAATTAGGATCAGTGAATAGTGAACCACCAGAAGAAACCTTTGGAATAGAGTCAGCTCCACCGACAATACGACTCCAGTAAAGACGGGCATGTGCTTTGATAAGTAAGGAAATAATGCTATCCAGCATAACACTGAAAAAATATTGAAGAATACACATTTAAAACTACAAATTACTTAAACACCGTTTTTCTAAACACCTATATCTTCTACATTATTAATACATATAATACTTTTCATTAAGAAGAATACCATTTAGATATTTAATACAAGGAAATCAATCCGTGGAGGTCTCACTCTTTCACCAAAAAGTGAGCTTTTGACCAAAATCCCTAATCTACAACACACTGAATCAAATTTAGAGGTTTTAGCACACACACACACCTTGTAATATCCGGGAACCAAAGTATACGTCTTCTCAAGATCTTAAGATTATAATAACTAATGTTTTGAAATCATAGGTTTATGGATCGAGAATGGGCAGTTTACTTCCTATGCATCATTCCAAACCCCCATACACACAGGTTCGATTATTTATCTCTTAAATAATGACTAAACTTTCATGAGATGAACTTTTCATTATGTATTATTCATTTCCATACAAACAGAACTTTAACTACTCAGTTGTTATTTATCAATTAAGGCAGAATAAGTATTTTGTTTAGAATAATCAATAATGTACGCATTTACCACACACACGCACAAAAAAAATGGAAGTGGAGGTAATTTTGCTCATTAAGTGCTTGTAATTGTGAACCAATTGTCACGTGTTGATCTAATGTAGTAGGGTATGATGATAAGGATTGAATTAATCTTCCACCCAAATGTTTCTTGTTTTGTTATTTGTCCATCGAGGGTAGTTTTAACATTTCGGTTAAATGTGATTTCACGAAGATAGATCTAGGATTTTTCGGTAGGCTGAAAATCATCCAAAATCTTACTTATCGCTCTAGCCATTGGGTTATGTAACGCCTCACACTAAATTCATTGAATTCTAGTTTCAGCAGTGGGAATGATGTTAGAAACATTATTAACTTTCGTCTGCCAGTAATAATTTATTTACTTATACTAGTAAACGACAATAAGGTTAGGTATAGGGTACTCGGCAAAGGTAGAAAATCGATTGGTAAGGTTTTAGACCTGCATCGAATTAAGTAATCAAGAAATGTTATGTATGTCGAATCAAGTCCTACCCCGAAGATTGATATTTGCTTATGTAGAAATAGGTTGGAATAAAGCTAAGAATATCAATTGAAGGTGTGAATCGTACTGGTAGGTGCAGACGACCTGGATTGGTTTGACAAGATAACTGAAATCAGTGGTTGAATAGTTTAAGCAACATAGCTCATAATCAATCGCAATGGATCAAATGCATTAACTAGTTGTATTTTTATCAACTTTGGGTTTCAACATTCTTTCATACACATACCGTTTCTAGTTTGTCTTTTCAAACTATATTCCAAAATTTTAGTCTTTCATTTTTTTTATCATTGCTACTATGTTATATCGATTGGTTTTGTTACTTTTTTTTCTATCTCATTGTGATTATCTAATATGGCAACTTAGGCCAATACATATCTATGTCAAACTTTAAAGTTGATGATGTTTATCAGTCCATATACTTACTTATGTTTAACAAGTTTTGTTTATTAATGTATTCAAAGTAACGAAGCGGTCTGTTTATGATATTAATATTTAATTTTTCTTTACAAATACACAACTATACCTAAATTAATTTAAAATCTGAAAATTTCCTAAATTAACTGTAATCTATTCTACTCGTACTTTCACAAATATAAAATTGTATTGAATTTATATTTGTACCAAGTAAATTGTTGGCTTATATTATTATTATCGTGTTTTTCCTTTGTTTTACAGATTTGGGCATATGGAAGTGTATATTTAGATTCATTGAAGTAATAATAATATGCTAGATATGAATTTAACAGATTCCCCGGAAAAAAAGTGCATTTAAAATTTAATGATACACGGTAAGTAACCAAGTCTTGACAACATAAGCAACAACAACAACACATTTTAGATTATTAATTTGGATATAGGACTGTAGAATATGAAGAGAATTTATGGAATGCATGTACATCCATCCGGTTGATGAGTTCCAAATAGGATGAAACGTGTGTCATGAATTCCACTACTAGACTACATCCACTTCTTCTAATAACAGATGTAATATAAAAGCAATATTGAAGCGATCCGCACAAGATGCAAATATTATCAAAGAGATTGATTAATTACAGTTCTACATATATCATCGGTAATACAAAAGATAAAATTTTGTTGAAAAATAAATAAATATAGACTTACTGTTTACAATCAGTTTGTATGTCATTATTTGATACTATAGGTACAGTATTTAATATACTATTTAAATTTGATCCTTGATTTAATGATAAACTAGCAAGCATAACTTGAGCACAAGAAACTTGTGGAATATTATACTTGGATATCATAAGCCAACAATTTAAATTATCTTGTATACTTGTATGTGGTTCATATGGACAATTAATTAAAGTAGTATCCCAAGTTTTTTTCTGATCATTAGTAACAGTAGTAGTATTGGATGATGATGAAAATGACGGAGTTGATGGCAATGGACATAGCGAACTCCATGGTTGACGACGCCATACACGCGATGTACGATAATTACGACGTTTACTGGTTTTATTACGTTGTGAATCAATATTTAATCCATTGATATCACGATCATTTGAAATTTGAGCACCGGCATCAGTTTCATCATTGTCATTGTTATCGTCATCATCATCATAATAATCGTCATCGTCGTCATCATCATCATCATCATATTCAATTTGATCTAATCGATCAGAGTCAGTATCTTCTAAAACTTCTTCAAATCTACCCTTTTCCCAATCCATAATAATGTCATCCGTGTAAGATTTTTGAGATTTTTCTGTAACTGAATCTTGTCGTGGTTGTTGTTGTTGTTGTTGTAGGGATTGATGTGTTTCGTTTAATTCTTGTGTTTGTTTTTGTTCAGTTAACAGTGTGTTACTAGCTCCATAATTATTAACATTATCCACTGATGAAGTAGGCAAATTTGATTCATCATTCCCGGATGTTTGATTTTTGGTAAATATCTTAATAGAAAAAAATTGTGATTGAATAAAAAGAAAATGTATACTGACATATAAATTTACTGCTCCAAAGAAAGTACATGACACAGTAAAAAAAAACTAATTCGAAATGAAGTATTGATAAGAAAGTAGGTTACTTCAAAAATTAGGCTGATCGAAAGTAGCATTCTGTTTAAAAAAAGATGAATGATAAGATATATATTTATTTTGTGAGATGTTAAACAGTTCGATGTAATCGACAAGAATATCTGGACTTAAGTTTCGCGCTATCTGCTACTCAACCGGAAGAAATACACTTGAAACTTCGAAGGAACAGATGCTCTCGGATCCCGTGTTACTCAACTTCATATTCAGAGATTTAAAAACGGAGCTATTCCTGTTGCAGACGAACTCCAGCTGGACTGGGATAGCTACAGTCGATTGTTTACTGAACAACGACTACTGTCACGTTTGCGTAGGAAATTTAGTGCTTATCGAATTCTATGGATCAACTTGCAATCTGATCATATGTTTAAATCAACTAGACATTGTGACATCCTGACCGTAACGTCTAACTTGACGTGATTGTTTGGCTTCCCTGTAGTTCCGACCTACGCCAAACCCCTTTATGTCCTACCATGCCAGACAGGTCGATTGGAGAACGATGAGACTAAAAGCAGCTACTCAACGTCTGAGGGCGAAGTCGTATTGATGACTGCGAAGGGGTGTGACAGCAGTAAGGTGTTTCCCTCGGACAACCAGCATCTGCAGCGATGCTGCCTTCCAACAAGGAAGGAAGGGTTAGAAAAGGTCGACCCTAAAAATGTCACACCTCACCCTACCTCACGAGTTCCCAATCCGGCAGTAAGGGCAGTCCACTAAGGGCTTTTAAGAGCGGAGCTAATACTAAAAAACCTTTCATCAAAAGGCCGTGTGTGACCGGTCTCAGGCAGTTGTCCCTTGGGCTCTGCGGTCACGCTCACAGGTCGTTAAGACCAACGCCAACCTACATTCATTTTCAGGTTCCTCAAGAAACACCCTTCCAGGGTGTGGGCAGCCGGAAAGTGACATCCTCTCTCGTACCCATAACAGCATACGAGACCAAATAGGTCACAATCAAATCTATGAAGTAGTGAAACTTCATCAACTGAGGTGGTCGGGATATGTGTTACGAATGTCCAACCCCCGTCTCCATCAACAAACGATGTTTTGTGGTGTAGGGATAGACTGGAAAAAAGCTAGAGTCGGTTAGACCATAACATGGCACAAATCCATAAAGTCATTCACTACTGGACTGATCCATGTTGGTAGATGTACACTACCAGAGGTTGAGATCCACGAGACAATAGTAACCGATAGTTAGAAAGATTGAATGGCATGGCTTAAAATCGTCCGCAATGGCTCAGTCGCACCTAATCTTTATGTTCTCTCAAATTCCAATCTTCTGAATCCCTCGTGATTTTTTTACTCTTTGGTCTCTTATTGGTCACTGCTCACTGTAAAACCAATTGTACGACTCATTGTTAACAATCGGAGCACATCTAAGTAGGTGTTATCAATAGTATCTGTTATAAATATTCAACTCAAAAACTTAAATATGATGAATCTAAACAAAACTGCCTAATAAAAAAACACCATGCATTGAAGAAATAATTCTTGCATTTCTGATAAGAAACAGTGAACATCGTTGTTCAAACATAATGAGATGTAAGATAAATATCAACACCGACAATCGATGATGGTTGTACGTTATCGTCAATCGATTGAAGTTAGAAATACAAACTGTTGGATATTTACCCTGAAGTCTGACGAGTAAATATTAGTCACCAACCCTAAAGCTGATGGGTTGGATTTCTGGTGAAGTCATAGATGCACATTACTGAGTAGTTAATTCTAAACCAGGATGAAATAGTCGTCAAATGCTACTTCGTTTACAACCATAGTCAGTTAGTGATGTAGTGATGTGTATTTGTTAACAAATTATTTCATAAAACCTTCAAAAAAAAATAATAATAATAAACTATTCACTGTATACATTTTAGGAAAAGAGAATGAACTAACCTTAGTGCAAGTTTTTCTATTATTTCTTGCTAAACGACATGGAACATCTAATGCTCGATTGATTAAGTGAATAATCATAGCTAAACTTTCTTCTGTTACCAATGGATCACCATAGACAAACTGATTTTTAAAAAAAAATACAAATAGAAATAAAGTTATACTGATAGGGAATAAAGACAAAAATCAACAACATCAACATGTGAAATAATTTGGGATAATTATTGTTTTTCGTTGATTATTTCATGAATAATGGCTATCATGCATAGTATAATATAATCTATCTGATAAGATATTTTTACACATAAATCTAATTGAAATGACAATCTCAATATCTAGTACTGACTGATATTGAATGGAAATATGAATTAACTAAAAATTCTCTATCAAATTTAGTGATTGTTAATCTAAAGTTTTTTTTTTCAAAAAAAAAAGGACCATAAGATAGCGTAAATAGATGAATGAAGAAGTTAAACGATAAAAATCAAAATCCTTTCCAATGTTATATCTGCATTGATTTTGAAATTATCATATAAAACTGTTTGTTTTCCAGTACACTTAACCAATTCAGTCCCAATATCTCATCGTTTATGTCGATTATATCCAAGTGTATTCTATAAAAAAACAAGTTCTGTGTAGTCAAAGTTGGATTTGATAACACACACTAGATCACATAACGTAAAAGTGATACAAAGATTTCCTATTTAACTGCTTCTGTAATACAAGTTATTTGCACTGGAATCATCATCAATGACGAATCTTTGCCGGTATATATATATACTAATAGTTTTACTAAAATTAAATTACATGATCATTACATACTTATTAACATACGGACTTTGTAGCATATGGAAAGGTTATGCACGCCTTAATAGAATCGAACTGAATCACAAAAGTAAATGGATATACTTGGGTGCAAAAAGAACAGTAATGATGGAAATGAATAAAGTTAATTTCGTAAACATTTTAGGTACGATTAGTAGGATGTGAAAACATAATATTACCCAATTATCCTAATTCAAATGGAATGTGTGTGGGCTTGAAGATGATAAACATGTTAATACTTAAAATTACAATAATTTGAACAGATTCATCTTTTTGAACGAACATTCCCTAAGACGCTTGAAAATACCGTCAAAGAACTTCACTTATGATATATATATATATATATATATATATATATATATAATACACATGTCATAAGTAAAAAAAACTTACTAAACTCAGTTGTATAAAAATCATATAATGCAAATGACGACTATGTAGTACATGATCCAAACCACGAAAATCTGGTGGTAATTCTTTCGGTTTACGAAATGGTGGCCACAGTGAAGATATATTTTTAATACCATGACGTTGGCGACAACTAAAACAATAATAATAATAATAGTAATAATAATAATAACTACAATGAGTCGGCCAGCTGCTAGTAACATGGAACCTTAAACATACATTCATAGGCTTAAGGTGCCACACTATATTAGCACGCCGAAAATCGGGCAGACACTTGTTCATAGTGGTGTACGCCAAGTTCAGAAGGAGCGGCAGTGTTCGTAAAGCGTTGAATGTTGAATACTTAATGAGTTACGAGGTTTGCAGGGATGATTGAATTTTATCAATTTCAATATCGCATACTGGCTTTGTGCAACATTAAGTATCCATGATGAGAAATATAAAAACTAGAAAATATCCACAAACAATCTGTACCAATTTTAAAATCATTGACTAAGAAGTCACTGAGTTCTAAAGTTTATTAATGGAGTTCTAACAATAAGCCACAACTAATGGATCTCAACCATGTTGCGTACGTGGCAACTGTGCAAAAATGCTATTTCAAAATGTTTGCAAAGTAATGTGAATCGATACGTGTTAGGAATAGGAACTACAGTGACCTAAATGTTAACTGCTAGTCATGAGGTCTGAAAATTCTAATTTTGATGATCTGACTTCATCTAGCCTTCTCTTAAATCATATAATAAATATACTGTAATATTAAGTATCTAGACTATGTGTTACGATTATCAATACCGCCATGCTGGATGACATTTCACTAATCGACTATAAAAAAACTAAACTAAAACAAAAACAGTTACTCTACTATAAGCGTTGATGTATTGCACCCTGGTTTTCATGAATTCATCACGAAGATTACATATAAACAAATAGTTCGGTTAGATATTTTTTTAAAATTCAATTCATCACATTTTACAAATTCACATAATAAATTTAACAGAGAAACATTTAAGATAAATGAATAGAATCTGTATGAAAATGAGGAACAATCAATCAATAAAAAAAGGAAAAGAAACATAATCAATCAATATATGCATCAATATAATCGATTTGCATTTATATCAACCATACATTTCAAAGATGTACCGTACCACTAATACACACAATCATTGAAATGAAACAACTAGTTATTGGTTTAACAGCGTCAAATAATATTTCAGTAAGTAATGAATATTATTTGACCTCAACCAATCGACATGCAGGTTTAGAAACCTACATCATAGCTACTTCGTTTTCAAATGCTTAAAATGTGTAAATAAGAAGTGATAATTGAAAGAAAAAAAACAAAACAAAGAGTAATATATATACAACAGATGGTAATATATGAAAACTCACTGTTCACGATATTTCTCCATAGCTAAACTTGATTCTCTTCGACTGGTTACACGAAGTAAATGAAAAATTGGATCAAAATCAGTATGCCATAAACTAGGCATAAGAAAATAATGACCACTGATGAGACTACCAGAAGTTTCATCACATGACGGTGCAGAATAAGTTGCCACCTAAAAAAAAAGTCGTTTTAAACTAATTAAAGAGGAATTAATATGTAAAAGGTCAAAAGGAAGTAAAAAAAAGAATTCAATAGAGAGAACAGGAGAAAATCGATTTTTTGCACATAGATATATGATAAACTAACACTATACATGTTTAGAAGACAGAGATAAATAAGCAACTAATTTTAGAATGGACTTGTTTTCACTTGTCATAATAACATTGATTCAGCATCGATTATCACATGAAGTAATGCTTTCTTCGGTAAGTAATTCGTGACAAAAATGGAGTAAACACATACACACGCACACACAAAATCAAGTCCAATCAATCATACAATCTCTGTAAAAATACACCTATGTAACTTTGACCTAAAAGTTGAATCTTATTTAATGTCTGCAATACAAGTAAAAATCTGTGTAGATACAAGAACACACCGAAGCCTTCAACACTGATTTAATAGAGAGATGTAATAGACGGAGGAAAAAAGCAAACACACATAAATACATACAAAAAGATCACTAACCTTGTTCAGTACTGAATCTAAATTATTCGTTGAATTAATTACACCACAACGATCAGGGATTAGAATAGATAAATCACTACGTTTTCTAGGCTCTGGAGCTAACACAGAAACAATCTCTTTCACTAATAATTCTTCTTCAGATAATCCTTGTTTTAAAAACAGATAGTGAAAAAAATAAAACAAACAAAAGATTTGAATTCGTTCAATATATTGAAAAATTAACAGGACGATACGATATATATATATGTACTAACGAATAAATGAAACGTGAAGAAAATTAACTTAGTTACTGTTAATAAAATGTACTGATAAGTTGTTAAGACTTTGTACAATTAGATGATCAAGTGAACAGCTACCGATTCAAATGTAAATATTTATCTTATAAAGGGAGGTCAATCACGATGAAAACAATTTCGCTGTAGTACCTACGAATGTGACACTGGGTGACGTAGGTTTGTATAACATAGGAAGCATCAAAACCTTTAATATTGATGATATCTCTTGTTGACCAGTGTAAATAGGTACACACATTATAAGGTCGGGGTTTTCTGTCGAACGCATCTAACCATCATCTAACAGTTTAATAAATATCCCTTAAAATTCACCAAATGAAGTTAAGCTTATAAGAAATTGTAAATAACTAAATGTAAAATACAAAACGAGATCTCATTTAAACAAACAGATGGAAAAATATTTAATTATATACAACTATAATTTCAAATACTCATGCTTGCATAAACCATGGCAAGTATTATAAACACATAATTACCAACTTTTTTGTTCTTCAAAATTAAAACCATATGGTTAGTTTGAAACCATTATTCCCTAAAGAGTATGTAAATCTCAAACCCCCCTTAAGTAGTTTCTTGAAAATCTTGACAAATCTCTAGATCAATCAGAGTTAGATGTTAACACCGTTGGATGACGGCCCACTATTCCAGAGGTTAAGCATTCGCACGCAATACCGAAGGGCCTGTGAGGTCGTCCAGTACTTCTAGGTTTTTAATGGTGGTCTAAAAATGATTGGTTGATGATTTCAATGTGTAAAAAGATCTATTAAACGTCTTACAGATGACTGTGCAACTACGTTGCTTTGATACCTTCACTAATCATTTTTGTCAATTTTGTCTCATCGTGCTTACATAGTATATCAGCTTGGACGAATACACGTTTATATCAGATTCTATGTTATGACTTATAGCTGATAAGAGTTGGAAATTTCATCATACAAGCTTTAACGAAATATTCATACATTCTGGTACTATTAGATACTTCAGGAAATAAATATATTAAAATTTTAATATGATCGCTATGTTAGGCTAACCAACATTACAAAACATGATGTTCTATGTGAAATGGTTCCATGCAACCTGATAAATTTTCTTGAACCTATGTTAAAAGCGATCGTCAGAATAGGTTATATGCACACCAATTAAAAACCTGACCACATGTTCATTGATACTTCACGTAAACCAAATCAAAATATTCAAGAGACAGTAGAACGCATCGAGGGTCAAACGAATCTAACCGTATAATTCATGTCAACAAATTCAAATTTCTCACTGATTAGACAGCTTAAATCATAAAGACTCAAACATAAACAATTACATGTTGTCACTTATTAGAATAGATTATTGTTCATTTACATTATTCCTTCATATCTTGCTTGCTACAATAATCATGACTATTGCAAAAAAAAAACACAATAATCACATCTTACAAGTTTATCAGACAATTCAGGGAGGAAAATTTTCTTTTCAATCATTTTATGCACATAGACTGTACGATCATATTGACAGACAATTTATTTTCAAAAAAAAAAAAACAGTAGCCTAGAGAAAAATAGGATGGTGTTGAATGATTGACTTGAATAATTGAACTGATTTCCTGTTACAAACTGTCTACAAAAATCAATTATTCTAAGAAAGTTATGCTCTAATTTAATGGCAGAGGAAAAATGTTAAAGTGAAGATATAACTGTCAACTTGACAGATATTGGGAATAGAATAAATAAAATTTGTGTAGTGTGTGTACTAAAATGTTTGCCACATGCCAAGCCTATTTTTATATGACTATACATACTCAGTGATGTTTCATCGCATTAAATTGGCTCAGTCGCCTTCTCCTCATCAGTTCGCTGTGTTTTTACGCTTCTTATTCTCATATCTGTTTGCGTGAACGACTGAATGAAATAAACTTATTCAGATGAAACCATATTGGGCTTTTATTTACCACCATCGCACAAACAGGGTACACAGGAATTGAAGAGAGGATTTATTTCATGGAACATTCAATCGTTTCTCCGAATCGGAGAAAGATCTCAGGTCTTACTTACTCACTTACTTACTTACTTTTCTCACTGAATCATACTTCTTGAATAATATCATCCTAACCTCCCCGATTACTTCTAATTCCCTTACTACCTTTACTACTATTGGATTTGAATTGACAATTATATCTCTGTGCTGATGTGGTATGGCAACATGAACTGATGTACTTACGTACCAAGTTCTACGTTGCATCTGACTGACTGACTGACTTACTTACTCAGGTCATTAAACTTGAAATTATTTTTAATACATAGTTGTGAGAAATCATTGAAAAGAAGCATGAAAAATAAAATGATTGATTATGGAATATTGAAAAGGAAGGTTAAAATAATAGTAGAATTAAGGATTAAACATGCTGCTTTTGTACGCAAAAGTTATGCTGGGACTGGTGGATATCTCTCTAGTCTTTTTTGTGCACAAACTTTCATTTGTGCTTCATCAAAACCTATAAAATGATAAGCCATTTGGAAATACGGCCATTTTTATTTATACTAACAATACCAGTACTTTTATATAGACGAATTAACACTATATCTTTGTTTCTCAATTGACCAAATAGTTGGAAAAGTAGTCTTTTGGTCATTGACCGTGTATTAGTACATTAATTACAACAATTTACAATGGTTGCTCGAAAGACAGTGTCATTTAGTGTTATCTATTCTTTCGATTTTGATGAAATACAAATGAAAAATATGTGAACAGCAGAGACAAAAGCTATCCAGCCTAACAGTTGTGTACAAAATCAGTATGTTCAATTCTTAACCAATCGTTTCATAGTTGAGATAATATGAAATGATTCTCCGGTCATTCATGGTTTTCAGTGATTGTCTTACTAAGGTCAATACTTAGTACTTGTTTTATAAATGTATATAAAGTTTTTTACTAACCTAGATTATTACGCAAATCCAATATCCAACATAAATTGATTAGCCAAGCTTCTAAAGCCATTGGTTTACGATCAAGATTTTTCACTTCCGGTTCTGTAACTAGACTTAACAATTCATTATGAAAACAAATTCCTTTCAACAGTTTGGTTTGATCGACTAAAGCGTTTAAAAAATACGCAGGTGGTAACAGAGCTGTACATAACTGTAGAAAGAAATAACGCAATAATAATAATAATGATAATAATAAGACGAACACTTCTTTAGTAAAAGTATAACGCACACAATAAATATCTTTATCAACAAAGGTTTGAGTAGGTCAAACCAACGGAATGAGTGGACATATCACTGTGTGGTTTGGTAAGAACCCGATGAAGGCAATATGTAATTCTATTCTGTAACGCCTAGTTGACAATGGTGAAATTGTAGACAAAGTCAAAACATTTCCAGTTGTCTATCGCATACCTCGAGCATTATTTTAATGAGATTCGATCCTGCCTTCTACATATAGCAACTGTTAGAAAAGATGCGAATCTAGAACTCAAGTTTATGTGTTCAGGAAAAAACTCGTGACACCTGATTCCCTTCCTTGGGTCAAATCCAACTTAATATTATTTCTTCACATTTTATATTTATTTGTCGTTTTTCACTTGCTTCTGTTTATATCCTCAACTATTTACACATATAATTTTATTGTTTTTTGGATTGATATTTTAATGACTACTTATTGAAGCTTGACTTTCTACTCCCAATGTTGAACTATTATTACCTATAACTTTTAGTATTCTTATCAAAATGATTACACCCATGTTCTTACTAACAACTTATACTTTTAACTTATTATGTTTAGTTAAGTAATCTGTTTCATTATGATCACTGGCCCATAGATTGCATGCCTTGATCAGTTTAGAATTTCATTTATTCATAAAAAATATTACTGTTCTAAAAAACCGGAGATTACTTTCCTCTGCCTGAACACATATTGCTTATTTTTTTAAAATGCTTCAAATAAAAAGTACTAATGGTATAATGAGAAAAACAGAGTGAGAAAATGGCAGGTCATTGCTATTGTACACGTGTATCAATCAGTCGATGGATACATTAGACACATACATTTACCAGAATGGAATTCCATGAAATTGTTTTATGATACAATAGATAAACATACAGATATAGTAACAACAACAACAACAACAACAAAAACAATCAGAAAAAGGCTATAAAAATCTATTTTACTTGTAATGCAAATATATCCAAATCAATGAATGAATAGCAAAATTGACTTTGCATATAATGTGAAACAGATTGTCTAACACCTTGACCATTACGTATCCAATAACCGATAAGCACTTCATGACAGCCTAACTATAAATGAAATTTTAAAATGAATAAGAATGTTAAGAAGAAAAAAATGTGAAAATAGACCATTTTTATAAAAGTTTATATATATATATATATATATATATATATATATATATATCACGCGTAATTTTGCTCACAGTGATTCATTAATAGGTCATAGATTCAAAAAAGGATTTGATTAACTTTTACAAAACACTGAGACATGTACACTGCGTAACATTTTGTTAGGATATTAATCTAATATCCTAAGAGAATTTATTTGTAAATCAAGATGCAAGTCGACCCCAGGAGCGTACACTACTAAAAAGCGGAGGAGTGTTGGGGACGTTAGATCCCCAGAACTCACTTGATAAAGGTCTTAATTTTCGATTTTATTCATGGGCTGGTCAGTTGACCTTGAGAGCACATTTCCCACCAGGGAAATCCTTGGCTGTGATTGGCTACTGTGTCATTTTAGTGTGCCATTTTTGTGACTCTTCCAAGGACGTTTCTGTGATGTATAAATAAACGCGATTTGTGTGCTTCATATCATTGTGTTTGTTGGGTGTTTGTAGGATATACTTATTACGCTATATCAAGACTGTTCCGCAGTTCCTTTGGGGCAACAGACAGGGTAGCCTACCGTTTATCGACTAAGGTGAACCCGTAATAGTTTCGAGCATATCAAGTGACGAGAATAACAATTGACGCCGGGAAAGGGATCACACTGATCTTTCGAGACTTGAATTATTACCCGGACAGCAGCTGAACTAATGAAGATTTTGATGGATACCAAGCTGCATTGTGACACGACTATGGTGGATCAAATCAATCTGACATTGTGCAGCGCAACTGTCAACTAACTAGTGCAGATGTGTCCCCCGCTACACCCAGTCCACTTCACTTCAGCTAAATCAGACATCCGATCCAAAATTACTTGGTTCAAACAGCTAGGCATTAGCAGATGTCCCGTCAAGCATATAAGAAGCCAAACCGCTCAGAACAACCCAAGACTGGTCCTGATCTCCACCGTTCCTGAAAATATCCCCTCCGACGGCGGCAAACAACAGTACAGATGCAAATGAACCCTTCGGTTGTGTTGCTTTCATTTATTCAGAGGGAGGTGTTGGATATTGATCCAACATCCTAAGAGTTTTTTGCAAGTGTAATTTTATTGGTCAATGCCTATTGGTTGATTCCTACTGGTTAATTTTATGGTTGTCCTAACTATCAATGTCACAGACTTCAATGTTGTTTCCCAATCGACCTAACTGTATAAATACGGAATATCTGTAGCGTTTTATGACTTGGATCCTTAGCCGGGGATCCTTACCTTCTTCTGGATGCTTGTAGAATACATGTTCTACTTCATATCAAGTCTTCTTCTTTTAATCAGTGGGGGTTTGGGACAATCGAATTAATTGCCTGTCGTGTCGCCGGATCCTCGATCCTCGCCCTCGTTTACAGACTAAGGTAAACTCGTAATAGTTCAGGCATATCAAATGACATATTTACATGCAATCGTAACACATTCAGCGTAATCTCTGCGCTTATCGAAATGAGTTGCACGTATATTACTGTTTCTTAATTTGTCAATTAAACGTAGGATACACATTTCAGAAATCCCCATACCAGATCATAAAGCAAGTGCTGATTTGGTGGAATTCCCGATGAAGAAGAAAAAGATGGAGACTAAACAACACATTGAATCGAGAATAGGAGGCAGACATCAGAAGAATGAATACTTGACAACAATTAGAAAGGAGAGCTTAGGACGGAGTTGGTTGAAGAATCCTAGTCGGCGGTCTATGCTTCATGAGAGGTAACAAGTGTAAGTAATTAAAGAATATAGAGATTTATTACATACACACAACTAGAGTTAAGTATGGTAAACGAGCCTTCAATAGGTTCAATGTAGAAATCACTTTAGTAATTAAAATTCAGAAAAGTATAATTAAGTCAACGCAAGTATGTGAATCAGACGTAAGACAATGATTCACTTGAACCATAGTATTGTACTCTTTAACAAAGCGCAATACCTTAAATTGATCAAGGTTTAGATTGTACCATAAGACGTCAACTCTCTGGTTTAAATAATTAAACATTCACTCTAAAACCTGAAGGTAGTGGGATGGATCTAGAACAAGGTTGTGGGTTCTCTCCATATCTCACTATAAATGCTCACTTTGAAACTATTTGAAGTTCTATGGATCCGATTTCTAGTAGAATTAAAAATATGCACTGAGTAATATAGTGTTAAAAATTAAGATAAAATATTTACTTTATGATGCGAAAACATATTCAAAACAAAATCTAAATTTTACCATAAAAATATAAACAACAACTTACCAAAACATTCACTAAATGTTCCATAAAACGTCGTAATAAGCGTGGTTTAGGTAAGAGGTAATCACTTAATAACTGTCTTACATTCATACCATGTTTCATAGTGGATAAATGGAGAAAACAAGAAACATGGCGCATCAATGGTAGATGAAGACTAAGTGCAGAACGTATTGGTCGACTTTCTGGTACCGTTGGACTAATTAGTCGACCTAGTCCATTCAGTAAATCGGCTAATGTTGACAAGCAAGCTTTGGTATATAATAGGCAACGTGTACGTTCAGACTGAAATATTTAAAAAAAAGGACAAATCATAAATCAAGTACACTTATAGTATTCTTGATAAATGACAATAAAAAAATCCCAATCCATGCTGAAAAAAACACTAAATAAGAGAAATAAAGTAGTTCATTGTGAAATTATACACTGAGACCATTCAGTATGTAAATTATCAAGCAGAAATTCCGAACTATTCACTGCCGCCTACGCTTAACATATTTTATTCAATCTAGTAATTACCTATCCTAATATCTTGCTTAAGTCAATGGTGACGATAGTCCACTCTTCCACATGAAATACTCTTCCAGACAACTATATCATTAGAGCCGTTACCAGGCGATCCTTACGTACTGTTCTCATATGAAAGAAGTAAATTTACGGAGGTGGACAGAAAAAAAGTTGACAATGAAAGATGAAATTGAGGTAGTGGGTATGGAATGTCCTTCTGTCAAAGTTGGAAAACTCCGATTCTGAAATGATAGTATGAATAGGATTCACGGTCTTGAAGAAACGTAACGATTTCGATCACCTATTGTCCCACTACATTACTTTACTGCCTAGTAGACGGAACGTTTATATCAAAAGTTTTGTAAGTAATCGCTAAAAATATTTTCTGAACTTCAACATATTTCAGATTATTAATTGGCTATAGCTAAATAATCATTGAGAATTTAACAACCATTAATTTACTAAAGTGTATATTGACGTCTAACATAGAACGGTTACTCAAATCTCAATAAGTAGTATAAATCAAAATAATAATAATAATAAACATACTGGCAATCGACAATGTCGCCAAAAATTCCACATTGCAGCTGAACTGATTTCAACTTCCATTGTAAATGCATGATAAAATGTCAATGTTTCATATTCAATATGATCGCCTACTTTCATTGTAAAACAATTCATAAACTGTAAGAATAAATAATTTGAAATCAAAAATAGAGGTTAACATAGAACGCTAAACCGGTGAAGTTGTTTTGGGCATTTTTTTAAATAAAAGGGTTAAAATAGAAAAAAACTTTGGAAAAACTTAAAAATAAAGCTAACATTTCTCAAGCGAATTATGTAAGAGCTGTTTTTCCCTTCTTTACATTGCTCATTATTTTCTGAATGATTTGCTATCGTTTTCAGAAAACACTTCGCTATTTATGGAGAGAAGCTCACTGTATGTACTTTAATTTCTTCTTCTTCAAATCCTCTTAAAATGATTTGATTATTAACGCTCATTGAAAGATTTTCTACTCTAAAAATGGTGTTACATGTGATCTTTCTAAATGTTAAACTAATAATCTTACGCTGATACATAATACCACTTCAACAATCTGTCAGCTCACGATATATGTACTTTCGGGGACTTCATGATAGGAATACTATCAAAAGTTGTTTATCATGATGAAAGTTTTCTCTCGTGTTTTATTGACATCGGAAAAAGTTTTCCATCCGACCTATTATATAAAAAGGCTACATGTCTTCGATATTGGTGCGTATTTTCTCTTGCAGTTTGTGGTTTCTTGTATATTACCAACTATGCTTTACTAATCCCGATTACTGCTTCCTAGCCTTTTGTGGTGCTGTGAAGAGCGACGAAAGTAGCTGGTGAAATGGCTATTATGAATATAGACATGGATCTTAAAAAGTATTGTACTGGCAAGTATTATTTTTGCGATGTAAGGAGAGGAAGAGAAACTTGTTGAAAAATTCTATGGTGAGAACTCTATAGTGTACTAAACATATAACAATAATGCTAATAATAATAATAACATTAGTAATAATGGATAGGGCCATTAATATAACTATGATTGTTATTATTTCGCTACAAATATTTAAATAGACCCATATGATAACCGTAATCAACGTGTGAAGATCAACGATGCAGTGACACCATAGGCTATTCTAATCCCAAGCTACGCTAATCATAGATCAAGTCTTGATAAGGCGTAGAAGATATATACTACAGGCAACCAGAAAGGTTGGGGTTCCCAAGCACACAACTCAAGCTTATTTATACAACTGATAAAAAGCCGTTGGTGAGAACCACAAAATAGCGTACTAAATAAAACATTCCATCAACCGATGACAGTCAAGGATTTTCTGAATGGGAAATGTAAGCTGAAGGTCAACTAAGAGTCTTTGGCGCGAAAACAATGAAATTAAGAATTTCGGAATAAAATTACAAAATTAGGAAATTTGCCAAGTGAGTTCTGGGGTTCTAACGTCCCCAACAATGATTGGCTGAAAGACTCAACATAAATTCTCACAGGAGACGATATTCACTGATTCATAGGATACGACACCTTTTAAATGTTATCGCTGCAAATGAATTTCCTGTTCAATCAATAATAATAATAAGTAGAAGTAACTTTGAGCAATACTAATACTTAAAAATAGTTATCAATGCCAACATTTAGGGTGGACAAAACAAAATGGGGAAAAAAAAGTACACATTAAAAGATCAATAATAAACCAATTACTGATTTTTACATTAAATTCAAATAAACTAAAACATACTTGCATATATCGTAATAATTTAGTCCATGCACTTAAAAAATCCGCATCTTCAATAAGTATATCAACTATTGATTTATGAGAGACTAAATTACTAAGATCTGAAACAAATGGCCAAAATACATTGTTTTGAATTAATATCCCATCACAATTAAGCACCATATTGTTTCGATCGTCTAAACGCTGTTGAAATAATGAACAGAGTAAGAAGGTGAATAGATAAAAATGAAATATTCTTAAGTGAATTTAGCTTTTAAAAAATTTTTTAAGTAAATCAGGTTTTTATTCGCCACATTATAATTTCTTTGAATAAATTTAATAATACAAACTGTATTCATGTCATTGAAATTATGAATATAATTTTGTATTATCTTTTCTTCAGTTGATAAATATATATGAGGTTGAAGATGAAGTAGGCTAAAGTCTTTAATTAGAGACAAGTTTCGATTATACCTCAATCATCAACATTGTATCGACAGATGTGTTGATCAAATATCGCCATTTCGATTCATTTACATTCAAGAGAAAAAATCAGTTTGACGTTTGAAGCTAGTTCAGTTCTTATTGAACAGCCAAATTAAAAGCTGCATTTCATCAAATGAACATGTACATGATCACTGAGTTACATTTTTATGCCATAACATTTCACGAGCAATACATATATTTTTAAAATATTAGTAGAAATTATGTTGCTAATTAAATTTAAAAGTACCTATCCTCTTGAATTTTTATTTTAAACATACTTATTGGTATACGTAGATGATGGTTTAAACGATACTACACAGTTATGCATCTCGATGTGTTCAACGATTAAGAGGTTATGTGTAATTCATCAACGAGATATGATATAACAGTAGAATATAACCTTTCGATTTAATCAGTATTTAATTACACCTTTATATTTTGTATTATTATGAACTTTACAGATTCAAACACGTAGTAATAATAGTGATAACACAAGATCTATTTACTGAACAAGTCATACTTTTTGGGACATTACCATCAGTAGTGTGAATAAAGTATTACAGCATACAATTAGTGAGATAACAAAATGAAGCGTTAAGTAAACTTCACTAGTGTAGCTGTTCTAAACATCATCAAAAACTAATTGAAATGTCAGATACAAAACAGAAAAACAGTTGAGTAATGATGATGATGTCATATATGGAGTATAAATACTATAGTTACTCACCAGGCACTAAGATATAAGACACAGTAAGTGTGGGGACTAATGATACTATTTGGCGGTGTAAATCAAAATAGGCGGGGAGGAGCTCGGACTTGAAACCTAATGGATGAGAGTCGAATACTGTACCCACTAAACCACAACGTCGGCGAATGTAAATTAGCAGCAGACAAAAAAGACTTCTATTACGTGAATTAACTAAAGTGGTAAACAAATCCCTCAATGTTTTCTTTATCCCATTTGATGCAGTTGTGGTATTTGTAATAATTGTCGTTTATGGAAAGCTGTACAACTATATTCATTCATTTGATCTTTTGTAGTCAAGTTTGACAATGTACAACAGTCAGTCAAACATGTATTTAAGGTTTAATCTTCATTTGGCCGGTCGAATTACATGATATTTTAAGAGACTAAATTTTTTGAAAAACTGAAAATCAATGCTCAAAGTGTCAAATGATTACTGATCTACGACTTAAAAAGAATATACTCTCATTTTCTCAAGTACGGTTACTGTATTCACAACTATTAAAATCTGGGCGAGTTAATTCTACAATAAGTTGAAACTAAACAGAATTACATTCACAATGAACAAGCATATTGTGTGCTGAACATGGTACTTTATCAATTTTACAGTGAGTCAGTCAGTCAGCTGCAACGTAGAACTTCGTACGTACGTACATCAGTTCATGTTGCCATACCACATTAGCACACAGACGTAAATGTCAAATCAAATCTCATAGTGATAAAGATAGTAGAGGTATTAATGGTAATGAAGAAGACTAGGGTTTGAAGATATTATTCAAGAAATATAATTCCGTGAGATAAGTTTAGAAAGACAAAGGTAGTGGTATTGACCAATACAGAAGATTAGCACTTGAGAAAATACAAAGAGTGGATGCACCTGCGCCATTGCAAACGATTTTGAGTCATGTCATTCAAGGTCTCTAACCATCGATGACTGTCGTCTCGCGGACCCCAACCAGGTAGCCTACATTTACCAACATGACTCAGTCCTTTTGTTGAACAGTATAAATTTTGTTGGAAATAATGAAGTCAACTGATTCGACAGAGATATAGGCATTACTTAAATTATTCATCTGATACTATCGTTGCAAAAAGAAGGGGGAAAACAAATGACCATGAGGAAAATATAGTCTGTTAACATCTCAAACTATATGCCTAGCAATGATTGAACTTCAATTTTGCATTGAGCATCAGTCTACTCTAGACAATGAATATCTCTGTTGATGAATAGTACTAATGAGAAAACACACTAAACAGACAACAGTCGGTTTAATTTCAATGTCAATTTATGCACAAACAAAAACTTTCAATTAGGCATTATTAGAGGGTACAGTAAATTACAATCAATTAATTGATGAATTAATTAATTTACTTATATAGAAAGAAAGGAAGAAAGAAAGAAAAAAATAATAATAATGTTGAAACACTTACAGTACAACAACATGTCAGCATATTTAATAAACAATGTACAAGTAGATGATGTAGATTTTTTTGTTGAATTACACGTAGAGCTAATTCTTCACCACTGAACAATTGTACTGATATATGTACAATACGATTATTCATTTGTAATGATGATTCAGGTGCAATACGTGCACGTGCTGAAAGTAGAACAGTTGAAGCTATACGTGTATAATGATTAAGATAGGATTGAATAAATTCATCCTATAATAAATAATATAATGAAAAGAAAAAGGATTACAATTCAAACAGTATATATATATATCAAAAATAAAATCATATAATATGATGTGATGTGATGTAATGAATTTGCATTTAAAATACTTGTAGAATTTAAAATGATCAGAATGATTCAAAAAAAAGTGAGATCTCTTTTTATTCCAGGATGGTGACAATTAAAGAAACAATGAAAACAGTGAAATACTAGAAAATAACTTCGTCTTAATCTAAGATTAATTCACCAGAGCGCATAGATAATTAAAGTTCGGAATCAATATAGACCCAGTGAGTAAAACATTATCGAATCATAGACGATAAACTAGCCAATATTTACATTAACAGAAACAATAAAGTTGCTAAACATTCAATATATTTTATGGATACATCATTGTGGATTGGCATGATTCTATCTTCACTAATGACTGGATTTGGTAGTTTAAAGTCATATCGCTTAACTGTTGACCAACTGTAGCACAAGAAACATTTCAAGCAAGATAATTAGACTCCCTTGATAAATTACGTTATATACTAAAATACCGAATTCCTTCACGGTTGTAAAATATGGTTTATGAATACCAAAGTTATACATAAATCATAACAGTATCATTGTTTTATGAAAGCATCAACAAGTGGTCTCAGTTATGTGGGTCTTCTTCATATAACCTCATTCTTTAGAGGATTTCCACATAATCTTAATCGATGATTAACAAACCATAAGTGACCTACCTGGCTTGAAACTAATTACATTGTAGCAAAGACACACGCGTTATTTATGTTGTTTTAAACTTTGGAATTTTCATATTATTTCACACTTCCTATATCTCTTTTATATATCCATTGTTCATTTCAATTATATTTATAATGTTTAGTTTCCCGCTATTATTGATAAATTATTATTAATAAAAATTTACGTCAAAGTTCTATGTTGCTTTTAGTGGCCCGCGATCTGAATTCTGTATATCATTTTTAGGCGAACTCCGTTCGTGCAACAGTGGTAATTAAAAGCCTGATACGGTTTTGTGAATGAATTTATTTCATACACTCATTAAAGCAGACACACAATTGAATGTGAAGCGAAGGAGAGTGGGCACTCAATGTATTGAGCACTCATTAAGCATTTACTTACTTACATACTTACGCCAGTCACCGCCGACCAGTGTTCTAGAACCGACATTGACCTGGGCCTCCATATCCAGTTCTATCCAATTTGTGTTCATTCTCCTCATATCTTTCGCAAGTTCTGGGCGTAATGTGTTCCTTTGCCTTCCTCTTTTCCGTTGATCTTGAGGGTTCCAGGTGAGGGCTTGTCTCGTGACGCAGTTGAGGCTTTCCACGATGTGTGTTTTATGCACTTAGGCCGCTTCGTCCTGATATACTCCTCCACTGAAATTAAGTTTGTTCTCTCCCACAGTAGGTTGTTGCTTATGGTTTCTGGCCAACGAATAAGAAGTATTTTGCGTAGACTATTATGAATGAATATTTGAATTCTAGGGATGATGGCTTTCGTAGTTTCCGCTGCATATAGTAGAACAGTGTTCACATTTGTATTGAAAATTCTTATTCGTGGGTTGTTAGTATTCGAGTATCGTGGCACAACCGAGTAAGCAATGCTATCGTTAGGAAAGGGGTCCTAGGTGAGAATGGCAGGGCAATATATGAAGTAATGAAACCTCATCAGTTGAGGTGGTTGGGACATGTGTTACGTATGCCTAACCACCGACTGCCTCGTTGAGCTACGTTTTGTGGTGTAGGAGTAGGGAGGCCAAACCAAAATATGGCAGAAATCCATGAAGACAATGACAAGTGGACTGAGTCATGTTGGTGGGTGTAGAATGTTTGATTGGGATCCGCGAGATTATAGTAACCGACGGTTAGAGATGGCTCAAAATCGGTTGAAAACGCGCAGATGCATTAACTCTGTGTTCTCTAAAATTCTAATCTTCTGAATTCATCACCTCTATCTATCTCTTTCTCAATTTATTTTTGAATTTTTTTGAATAATATCTTCGAACCCTAATCTTCCTTATTACCGCTAATACTTTCACTATTTCTACCACTATGGAACTTGAATCGACAATCGCGTTTCTGTGCTAATGTGGTATGGCTTCTTAAACTGGTGTACATGCGAACGAAGTTCTACGCTGTAAATGAATGACTGACTGACCTGATGTAATAATGAGGTATAACAGTTTGAACTGACATACACACATGTATTAGCTTCAACAATGCGTATGACCGAATAGTAAAAGCCAAGAACTCGTTCTCAAAGATTAAGTATAAATTACATATTAAAATAAATAGAGAAAAATCAATTTAGCCATACACCTACACGCAATAAGACTAAATGAAATATGATTTCATTACGGGGTTGTGAAGATTGTTAAGTTACACATTTGAAATCATTTGTCGATAAATGTTGGACCACCATTAGAAACCTGGAAACACTGGACCACCGTTTCGTGGGCATCATCATCAGCAATGCAGAACTTCGTACGTAAGTACATCAGTTCAAGTTGCCATACCACATTAGCACAGAGATATAACTGACATGAAAGATAAATTTTACAGAAACCTCTCTAAACTTCAAAATGTTAAGCGCTCTGATATAGTAATAATGGCTGGTGACTTTAACGCTCAAGTAGGTAGACTCAGAGAAAAGGAAAAACACCTGGGTGGATCTTATGGTTTCGCGGCTAACAGAACAGATAATGGTGACCGTCTTCTGCAGATATGTTCAGAAAACCGCCTATTTCTAGCAAAAACTAACTTTAAGCATAAGGTAAAACACCTTTTGACCTGGCAACCCCCAAAGCTGACTCAACGATGGACCCAACTAGATCACATCGCTATAAGCTATAAGAATGCCGCTGATTCTGGAGCACTTGTTTAGACTCAGGCCATGCTCTAGTGCTCTTGTTTGCGCCTTACTGGACGCAAGAAAAATATCGCAAGGAAACCCCTTAAGGCTCTACTTAATGATAATAAAGCTAAGAATATATTTCAGGAACTAGAAAAACAGTTTCGTGGGCACTGCTGATGAGTCCCGTACCAGGACGAAACGGCCATCCAATGCTTCCAGGTTCCTCAAGGTGGTCTAACATTGAGCGATTCATGATTTCAAATATGATTCGACATTTTTAAACTAATTAATTATTTTTTAATACCATTATAGAATGATTTGTCAACCATTAATGTCATAAGTATAAAATAATGTTACGGAATATTTTAGACGATATGAATATGTGGTTAGGTAATTCATTTCTTTAAAAAGTATCCGTTAGTAATAAAAGTGCTATATTCATCCATGATCAATAATAATAATAATAATAATAATAATAATAATAATGGTTAACCTTGAATTCTTCAACGGCTAACAATCCAATTAAGAATGTGACCAAACTTTCCGGAAAGCGTAATTTTATAGTTGAGAAAATAAAAGCATCCAAAAGTGTTTGATGCACTAAATTTTGATTGCTTATAATAGCTGCATAAAAATAATGAAATAAAATAAAAATAGAGAATGCAGTAATAACATTATTTAAATAAATTTCTTATTATTCATTACTGTCTCTGATTAAGTGATTTAAGAAAAATTATCTTAATAATGTCAGGAAGAATGTGGGATTCAAACTTTTACACAATAAACTGATTTTTATTAATCAACCATTAAAAATCCTAGAGAGTATTGAACAGTTGTTTAGTTCTAGTATGAGATTCTTTTAGGTCAAACGAATTAGTTTACAAAAATGGAATACGTTGGACCAAAAGACACGTCGATAAACGTGAAAGGCTGAAAAGTTTCCGAGAAATAATTTTTTTAAACGGAGAAAAAATACCACACGTCACTTTTTACCGTCTGACAACATTAAGAAGGTAAATAATACATTATTTCAAAGTGAGGACGGACACAGTACTCTAAATACACTTTAGTTTAAAGTTTGGCGTCGTGGAACGAAAGATAAAGCCGGTTAATCCACCACCTTATTGGCCCATGGAATAAAGAGTCATAACGATTCAATAACTTAGAGGTTCAGGATATTGTTATGCATGGTTAACAGTTTAAATAAGTGATGACTCGGTTTTGAATTTTTGATTTCCCTACACAAATACAGTAATACGCCTAAAGAATAATCAGATCTTTGATTTCGACCGAATCAGGATTTTTCGCCATAAGAGTTTACGTCTTCGCATTACTATTGTTATCATTAGTAATGGTATTAGTATTAGTATTACTAAAAATCGTAGTATCACTGAGATGTTTTTTAATAACGTGTTTAAAGACAAATTAATAAATATAGAAGCGATGTGAGGCTGTAACTTTGAATGTTGAAAAATCAAGCTTTCAATAGAGTGAGGCTGCATGATAAAATTTTAACCAGCTGAACTAGGCTTCAACACCTAGAAATCGGTAATGCGGCTATTACTAGAGCCCAAACAAACAATGAAAGTTATACTATACATAATCATCAATTTGACTGCTTTTAAAGAGTGTAGTAGTGGTAGTATAAACTTGGTTTTTCATTTAGTCACAGTATATAATACAGTGGATAAAAAGGCATTGAATGCATCTGTTATATCACAGAATGTAAATGGTTGAAGTTATTTTTCTGAATAGCCTTTTTTTAGCAAGTTTGTTTTCTACACAATCAGATTGCTAATCCCATACCAAAACCTCCCGGCTTGTGATCGGTAAGCGGAAATTAAAAATTAAAAATCTCCAGAAAGCGATTATTTATGTGCTTAACAACTGAATATTGAAAAAAACAGACGATATCATCCTTTCGAATGCACTAAAAACAATTTGAAATTCAGTATTATAGACAGCGACTGCTGAAACGTGCATAAAACATGGAAATTATGTATATATAAATGTATATATGTGTATAATTTCACATGATGCAAATCTAACACCACAGAATGAGATGAAAATACTCACGAGGGAATTCGAATTCAGGATTACTGGATACGCTTAGTTGGTAGTCTGCACATGCTCTCCGACTTTCAGTTTCTGTCAAACGAAAAAATTAGGATTAAAATTGGTTTATCAATTGAATATTTTTTATTGAAAAAAGTTATTACCATTATTTGAGCAAAACGAATATTCAAATTTTGAAATATCTGAACGAAAGCATACACAAAAATCGTATATCCGATCCTAACTAGGAGAGCCTCGATTTTTATAAAGGACAGAAATCCACTTATAAAATTATGTGATTTAATCAACAGTACATGAGAAATAACAGAATAGTCCCTTCTATTTGGCAAGTGCTGAAACGTCATCAATTGTGGTGATTAATCACAACATGTAAGGTATGTCTAATCACTGGTTACTTAGATATGCGATGTTGGCTGGTGTAGAAGTAGGGTGAAAGAAAGCTAAGGGCGGCCAAATCAAAATATAGTATTAGCTCATCAATTCATTCATTGTTGGTCCAATTCATGCTGGTAGATGCAGGCTACTAAGAGATAACCCCCGATTTGAAGATTACGCATGACGACTCAATCATTCACAATAATACAGATGCATCCACTACTTATCTTTATTTCAGTCTTGAATTCCGAAATTCTTTAATGCATAACCTTTCTATTCTGTCTTTTTCGAACCATATTAGACCAAAGCATATCTGCGCCTGGCACTATGTTTATGACAGAGTGAATGATTGTATTTGATATTAAATGTCAGAACATAATACAACCGTAGGTAAACACGTGTCACATTTGTTCATGATTGAAACAACTCGATGGTATCAACCTTTAACTATACGGTGTAGCACTGAAAATTGAATCCATCTAGACGGTGTGTTGGAAACGACTGGAAAAATGCCTGTTTCAGAGTAAAACTGGTAAACCATTTGGCAAATACAAAAATATTACTTAATAGTAAATGGTTTATATCAGGACACAAGCACACGACTGTTTATTGAATATGAAAATGAATAACAAGAGTGTTAGGAATAGTACGCACAGGGTTAAAACTGATGTAATGAGCTGGAATCAGGTCTAACAGTTATAACTTTATTCATTATGGAATAAGCAACCAGCAAAACTACTATTAGTCAATCATTTATTACATATAATCATGTACCCGACCGAAGCTGCTACCTTGACGTGGTGGTCGGGCTTGCCTATCGTGATGACCCAACCGAGCTATACTGGCTGGAACATATGTTCCTCAAGGTTCTACCATGCCAGACAGGTCGATTGGAGAGCGATGAAACTAAAAGCAGCTACTCACGGTCTGAGGGCGAAGTCGTACTGCTGACTGCAGAGGGGTGTGACAGCAGTAAGGTGTTTCCCTCGGACAACCAGCATCTGCAGCGATGCTACCTTCTCACAAGGAAGGAAGGGTTAGAAAAGGTCGACCCTAAAAATGTCACACCTCACCCTACCTCACGGATTTCCGTCTCCGTCGGTAAGGGTGCCCACTAAGGGCTTTCAAGTGCGGAGCTAACACTCAAAAAACTCCTCATAAAAAGGCCGTGCGTGACCGGCCTCAAGCAGTTGTCCCTTGGGCTCTGCGATCACGCTGCCAGGTCTCTAAGACCAACACTAATCTCTCTTCCTTTTCAGGTCTCTCAAGAAACAGTCAGTCAGTCAGTCAGATGCAACGTAGAACTTGGTACGTAAGTACATCAGTTCATGTTGCCATACCACATCCGCACAGAGATATAATTGTCAATTCAAATCCAATAGTAGTAGAGGTAGTAAGGGAATTAGAAGTAATCAGAGAGGTTAGGGTTAGAAGATACTATTCAAGAAGTATGATTCAGTGAGAAAAGTTTAGAGAGTCGAAACTAGAGGTGTTGAAGAATCCAGAAGATTAGGGTTTGAGAGAACACAAAGAATAAATGCACCGGCGCCATTGCGAACGATTTTGAGCCATGTCATTCAAGAAACAACCTTCCACGGTGTGGGCAGCCGGGAAGTGACAACCGCCCTTTATGTTAATAACTTATATATAAGCATATTGTTTTACTTTTTAGAAAAAGCCTTTCGATTAAACTCGTGGTCTTGTCTTCGATCATACACCGATAATTCGGTGTCTTCAACAGCTATTATTCAGTCAACTTTCATCAATGTATATCATTATTCAATCAATCAGAATCCTAATCCTTCAATTCCAACAACTGAAAAACTAGTTTAACAAATCCTTCATAACAGAAACAAATATTGGAGTTTTGTAGGTGAAATACTTTACCAATAAAAAAGACGAATTTTCTATAGCATATATGAAAGTGACTCCACCTTATACTCAATGGTGTGTGTTATCAAGCTGAGATAAACAACTACAAGAAAATTAAAAATACATGTTGGTACTAATTATTTAAATAAAAATACCTTAAGTAATGTATTAGCAGTTCCACTTAATTAGAACTATATCCATAATTATTGTTATGGATATACGCAGAGATATTACTTCTTGAATAAGGCTTCCATGAATAATATAGTGCAAATAGTTAAGTTAAATATTTACAGGATCTGTCGAACTAACTTAGTGAATATTTCACCAACTGCAACCGATTTCCATAAGTATCAGATTCTACATTGCTTATAGTTTATCAGGACAAAGACTGATAAAACAGTAAATCCCGAAACTATTTTATGGATTATCATTGCTATTATATATATGTACATTTATAGTATAACTAATAAGTGATTGAGTTACTACGTTTCTATAATTCGCTGATCGTAAGCTTCCGGTTAACTCAAAAACAATCACTATACGACTTGGTATTCTTCAGTGATCACCAATCAACTAATTACAGATTTCTCGGTTTTTAGTTTATTTTGGCTTCAGTCAGTCAGTCAGTTGCAACGTGGAACTTCGTACGTATGTACATAAGTTCATGTTGCCATATCACATTAGCACACAGACGCAAATGTCAAATCAAATCTCATAGTGATAAAGATAGTAGAGGTATTAATGGTAATGAAGAAGACTAGGGTTTGAAGATATTATTCAAGAAGTATAATTCAGTGAGATAAGTTTAGAAAGACAAAGCTAGCGGTATTGACCGATCCAGAAGATTAGGATTTGAGAGAGCACAACGAATGGATGCACTTGTGCCATTGCAAACGATTTTGAGCCATGTCAATCAAGGTCTCTAACCATTGATGACATTCGTCTCGCGGACCCCAACCAGGTAGTCTACATCTACCAACATGACTCAGTCCACTTGTCAGTGACTTCATACATTTCTGCCATGTTTTGGTCTGGCCGCCTCTACCTTTCTTCCAACCTATTCCTATATCGCAAAACATAGCTCAACGAGGCAGTCGGTGGTTAGGCGTACGTAACACATGTCCCAACCGCCTCAACTGACGAAGTTTCAATACTTCAGCTATTGACCTGCCATTCTTACCTAGCACCTGTTTCCTAACAACAGCAATGCTTGCTCGGTTGTCTCATAATATACGAGCAAAGCTTCGGCGACATCTATGATCGGAAACCAGTAACCTACGAACATCTTCTACTCTTAACGGCCATGTTTCGCATCCATATAGGAGAACGGAGCGAACTGCTGCGCAGTACACCCATCCTTTGGTTAGCGAACGGATATCTCGCCTGCGCCATAAACGGCGAATATTGGAAAGAGCAAATCGAGGTTCCTGTACCCGTGCTGAGATTTCGTCACACACCAGGCTACCAGCGCCGACGAGACTCCCCAGATAAGTGAAGCGATCAACATGCTCGACTACTTCACTCCCTATCACTAGTTCAGGTGCCGATGCAACCCAGTCTTGAAGCAGCATTTTGCATTTCGACCGGGAAATCCGCATCCCAAACATGCTTGCATTGTTGCTTATGGTAGTCAGGAGACTGCATTTTGTCAGCGTCTTCACCGAATAGAACTATGTCATCAGCATATTCTAGGTCAGTAAGCGATTTTCCTGGTAGAACATCAACCCCTGAAAAATCTGACGACCTTGATGTTAACTCTAAGAGGATGTCTACGACAAAGTTAAACAAGAATAAGGAGAGTGGACATCACTGACGGACATCACTTGAAGTAAAGAATTCCGGTGACAGTTCGCCATAAGCTCTCACTCGACCAGTGGTGTTCGAGTAGAGAGCTTGTATAAGGTTAATGTACTTATTTGGTACAACTTTCAATGACAGACACTGCCACAGAACCTCACGATCCACTGAGTCGAATGCCGCTTTTAGGTCCAGGAACACGACTATTGTAGGAGCCCTAAATGTGTGTCTGTGTTCCGGGACCTGTCGAAGTGTGAAAACGTGGTCTATACAGCCACGTCCAGGTAGAAAACCAGTCTGGTTTCCTCTAGTCTGCTCTTCACGAGTTTTCATTAAGCGTTGAAGTATTATTGAGGCCAATATTTTAGATACTATATTAGTTAGACTTATTCCTCTGTGATTGTCACAAGAAGACTTCTGTCCTTTCTTATAGATTGGGACAATCAGTGATTGAGACCACTCGGATGGGATTATGTCCAGTTCCCAGATTCTACCTAAGATCTCAGTCAATCTAGCTGCTAGAACTGGACCACCATCTCAGGGGTAAGCATATCAGGACCTGCAGCTCGCCCTCGCTTCAGATTTCCTATAGCTTTCTTAACTTCATGTAGACTAGGAGGACCTAAATCGATTTGCCACTCAGGATGACTGGGGATCGTGGGCAACCGAAGTGCGGCTGAAGACCAGTTGAACTGGTCCCTAAAAGTGTTCTACCCATCTACCCAATCTCCTGGATTGAGAATAAATGATACAGCCATCCTTCTCTGAGATAGTTTCACTCACGTTCGGGTTCCTAATACAGATTTCTTTGATAAGGCGGAAAAGTTGTTTAGTGTTGCCTATCGCCGCTGCCTTTTCCATTGCTTTTGCTCTCGCCACCCACCACTGTCGCGGTCGTTACGTAGGCTTTTTATCAGTCCGCGCTTTAGCTGACTTCGCTCTTCGTCATGTTCACAGTCAGGTGGGATGCGTTTTCGAACAACCATCAGTTCAATGGATGCCACTAAAATCCACGGCTTCATCCTAGC